AATTCATACTAAACATTGGTAATGAATTAAAATGGTTACCAACTTTAATAAGATTAGATCTACTTACTATGTTATTTAGAAATATAATAATTACATACCAGTTACTTTAATTCAATCTAGATATTGGTAAAATTTGTATCATTATTGTGACACCAATTAAGAAAGATCAATAACAAAATAAAAAGATGTTGTTTTTATTTTTTTGAAGAAACCTTGAATTTCTCGATTTGTTAACAAATGGTTTAGACTCTTGTTTGGTAAACGGCTAGCGACGAGACAATTATCATTGCTAAAGTACCAATTTATCTGAAAGTAATTTAAATATAAATTGGTTCAACAATAGTTGTGCTTATTTTTCAATTGTTCGCTTTGTTTATAGATTATTTACACTGATTTGCTATTTTTGCATCACTTATCAAATATTAAACATACAAATACATACATATTTCAGCACATTCCTTGCTTCGGCAAATTGTCATCGAACTAGCGTGTTATTAAATGAAAATTTTAGTTGCAACACGTAATTGTTATACTGTTTGAAGCCTCCTCGTATTGATTTTATTAGTACTCAGTTACACCACTTCATGAATCGCTGGCCATGTATTAGTGAACTGAATCCCGACTTTGGACTCGTTGAGTTTCAGAAAAAAAATCATTGTGATTTTTGTTGCAGCCGTTTGAGAGGCAGGCCTGTCTCACTCAAAATGTGTGCAGCTCAACAGTACTGCCTTAGGTGGAACAACCACCGGTCAAACCTACTCACAGTCTTTGATGAACTCCTACAAAATGAAGCCTTCACCGATGTTACCCTCGCTTGCGATGGTGGCAGTCCAATAAAATGCCACCGGATGGTTCTAGCCGCCTGTTCCCCTTATTTCCAAAACTTGTTCACGGATCTACCATGCAAGCACCCAGTGGTGGTCCTCAAAGACGTCAAGTATTCGGAAATCAAAGCTATATTAGAGTACATGTATCGAGGCGAGGTCAACGTAGCCCAGGACCAACTCGCCGCCTTGCTCAAAGTGGCCGAAGCCCTCAAAGTGAAGGGCTTGGTCGAAGAAAACCGCTCCAGTGGGAGCTTCTCCTGCAACCGCGATGAGGAGCCCATGGAACACTCCCCCACGGGCACCAGCAACTCCAATTCAAGCATTCAGAACGTGCACAGTAGCAGCAATAACTCGCCCCCGCATTCGACCAACAGCCACTACAAGAATCCTTACGGCATGTACAAGTCGGGGAGCATGGATCGCAATCCCAGGATGAATCTGCCCATTTGGGCAGTGCCGGGATTGCCCATGCCCTCGCATTCAAATACCGTTCCTAACCAAAACCACCCACATGCTGCCGCCACCGCTGCGGCTGCTATGTTGAGTAGTTGTTACGAAGCTGCCACCGACATGTCGCCTCTGAAAAGGAAAAAATTGTCCAGTCTTCTCATGAATAGAGACACTCCGATTTTGAGGACTGTTCTAGGACAAGGTCAGGCTGATTCATCGCAACCTGTAAGCCTGGTCTGTCATCCGGACAGCCACGATCAACATTCGAACGGACCGGACCAAGAGCGAATGGAAAAGGTAATCAAAAAAAATTTTTTCTTCAGTGATAGCAGCTTTTTGGGGTTTATTTAAAATATATCGAAATCTAAGACTTGTTTGTTTTATTAAAATAAGAAAGTTACCAATTCATGAATAAGTAACTGTAACTGATTTTGTTGGGCATTTTATAGATGCAAATTCTTCAATGATGTCACTGAAATTAAAGTTTTAACATAGCTTGATGAAGCTTTCTATGAGCTTTTTTTAATAACAAAAGTTAAAAAGCAAAATTACTAATCTGCTGTTTTTTTGAGAATGATTTTGATTTGAGCATTTTTTTTGTAACACTTCTTGGTTTTTCTTTCTAATTCTATTCAGTTTTATTCTTAATTTATTTTTTTTAAAGATTTGTAAGCTTTATTGTAATTTAAATTTTTGATTAATTATTTAATAAATAATATGATTATGTACTGTTACACACATAATAACACTAGTTTAAAAATAATAACTTGTTTAATTTACTTGTAACCAAATTATTATTTTATGTTTATTTACTTTTAATCAAACAAAAATAATAGTTAATTTTTTTTTCATCCCATCACATTTTTGAGTGTCAAAGGATATTTTTTTTTGCTTTTTGCACAAATGCTTCCCATTTAAAATTTAGATAAAATTCAAATTGTTGCTAAATTATTGGGACCAGATGGGTTTAAAATGAGTTTTAAAATACAGTACTTTGAACTTCTTTTCTAAAAACTCAGGCTGAGTGACGTTTCGTCAACATCTGAAGGTTTTTGAAGATCGGTACAAAGGTTTTTGCGATGAAATTATGTTAGGGGATTATGTTGGACTGTTATAAGAAAAACTGGTCCAAAAAAACTATAAAAAACAAAGTAAAACAACTCATTTTAAATTTATTGTTTGGTGGTTCTTGTATTTTTGTTAATTACATATTCCTTAAACGTGAAAAAAAATTGCTATGTCCGAAATTCCTCCTGGAGTAACTAGAGCCACCTGAAGATGGTGGGTAAAAGGTGTTTTTTAAATTACCTCATTAACTGGTGGACATAAAATTTACAAAAGTTTGCATCGGGAAGTAATTTTTTGACGCTGAATCTATTGGTGATATCAAAAATTGTGTACTCTAATTTTGCTTAATAATGTTTTTTTTTGTGAGATTCGTATTTATTGGATAATTGTCTTTAAAAAATGAAGCACCGTTTTCGAGAAAAACGAATTTGTTTCTAAAGCTGTTTATCAACTTTATTCCAAAAACAAAAACACGCAGTGAGTTTTTTTATACAGTAAGCGACCAAATTATGGATTTATTTCTAAAATTGAAAATATTTTGTTTTGACAAAATGCTGGAACAGGTCAAATTTTTTTTTTAAAAATACACAATTTTAAACTTGAAAAATTGTTTTTTTGTTGTTGGTTGATATTATTTAACTTTTTGAATGATTTTTTTTCGAAAATTTTATGTAATATTTAATAGTTTGGTGTTTAATAAAAGAGCTATCGGAATAGCTTTAGAAAATAGAGGTTTTCATTAAAAAAAAATATCGATGACGTCATTACTCAAAACCCAAAAAGAGTAAAATTTTAAATCAAGTTGAGAATTGTGTATTTATTAAAAAGAAAATTGACCTGTTTGAGTATTTTTGCCAAAACAAAATATTTTTAGTTTTGAGAAGATTATTGTATAATTTTGCCGCTCACTGTGTTTATGGTCGAGTTATCGTTCTTTAGAAAGAATTTCCGGACATAGAGCAACTTTTTTTTCTACAATGATCTAAGGAATTACTCCTCAAAATCCTTCAACGTTTTTCCCGAACATTCTGTACCTACTTATTTTACGAGTCTTATTATAGTATGTTACAATATAATCAACGACTACAGCAAGGCCTGTCTTTTGAAATGATTTTTTTTGTTTTACTCGAAGGTTATTTTATTGACTGACGCCCTTAGACTATAGCCTAGATAGCTTTTTAAGTAATCTGGCTCTGCGTTTCATTCCATTGTTATCAAATTGAGTAAAAAACCGAAACTTTTTACTAAAATAAGCACGAACGAATATGAAATGAAAATAGAATTTATATTGTGAATCTTATGCATTTTTTTATGAAAATAATTTCGCAGCACTTGAAAAACGAACCCTCCGAGGACGCTCAATCCCCTTACACGGACTTCACGATGATGAATGACGACGAAGAAAAATCAAAATTAGCGATTCCGTCCTCCTCTCCCCAATCCTACTCCAGCGAAATGCGAGCCGTGTCTTCAGGCATTGCAACCTACGTGCCGAACCAAAAACCCGAATGGAAACGCTACAAGCAATACACCCGAGAAGACATCTTATCTGCCATCGAAGCCGTGCGAAACGGGATGTCTGCGTTGCAAGCCGCCCGGAAGTACGGCGTGCCTTCGCGAACTCTTTACGACAAGGTAAAGAAACTTGGTATAACGACAAGTCGGCCTTTTAAACGGGGCACTAACGGGAGTCCTGCGTGCTTTCCTTATGGGATAAGCGGGACAGGGTCGCCGTACGGGGGCCACATGCCTGAGATGGACGATCCTCCTGCCAATAGTAACAACACTTCGAGTCTCCTGGAGGCGACGTTCCTCCAGCACGCGTTTGAGGGTCGTGGTGGTGACGATAGGGAGGCGTTGGCGGCGATGGCAGTGGCGGCGGCGGCGCATGCCGTGGTTTCGGGGCATTCGACAAGTCCTTCGAACCACGGACATGCCACGAGTCCGAGCCCGAGTCCCACTTTGTTGAAGTATATGAGACAGAATAGCATGACGCCGTCGCCGGCCCCCGGAAGCGAGCACCACCACAGTGAGACTAACGGGAGTTCGGAGCGAGAGCGCGATGATGATGACGACCAGGTGGAGGATTTGTCAGTTGGGAGGAAGCAAGAGTCGCGAGTGATAATGCCTCCGATGAATCAGGTGTCGACGATAATGAAGAAGGAGGAGTTGTTGAAGGACATGATCAAGGAGGAGGCTCGGAGGGAGATAAGCGTGGAGGAGGCGGAATAGCCTCGGCAAAGACTGCTGACATAGTTTTAAACCAGTGTTAAGTTTTATGATTATATATTTTATGTATTTTAAGGTTGCATTTGCAAAATGACTGAGTTCAGTGCAATATGTATTATCTGTGGTCACCCCACCCGTACTCACTTAGGTTTAGGAGTTAGCTATGTTAGGATTTTTTATCTCAGAGTGCCTGTTTGTTTATGCCAAGTGCGAGACCAGCTCACATTTCCTACAAGTTCCTTCACGGAATGTAACTCGTAAGACTGATAGATTTATGTCACTTCACTATGAGACTGATTCAAAGTAGAAATTGGCGGTCTTTGTGCTTGCACTACGTAACCGGTGTTTGTTGATCTTTACTGATCTTTGAAAAAAGATGTAAATAGTTTTGCTGAGGGGCATTAAGCCTGCTGCAGAGGAGCTGACAATGTTGACTTGTTGCGCGATTATCAGTTTCGTTCGGCCCTCTTTAATTAACCTTAAATAGTTTCGATGTGATTATTATTGGCTTAAATTACAAATAATTGGTTTTGGGTTTTTAGGCTTGTATCTTACTGGATAGGATAGGTATTGTGTAAGATATTGTTTTAAAGACAGAGAAAATTAGACGAGGGGTTACGAGATCAGTTGTATTTAGTGTACGAGTGTCTTGTGTAGCACTATTGAGTCATTTGAAGCACCTCAAAGGTACATAATAATTGTCAGTGGTAGTTGCACGATGCCATAGGTCTTCATGATGGCCGTTGTATAGCCATAGCTGTGATTTTCCTAGACTGAACACAATCATCACTAAATAACACATCCGTTTTTGTCGATATGAAGTTAGACTGACGACAGGTCTAGTCACCACATTCATTGCTGCAGCTCATCAATTTTATTAGAACCAAAAGTGCAATTCTTGTTGCAACACTGTATTTATTATTAACGATTACAAGACTGAATTAACGTTATTATTAATTAATTATTTTTCCTACGCGACTAGAACACAACAATATGGACCAATTTTTGAAGAAAATTCTACTTACACACATGTGCCTTTTACTCAGTCCAAATCTTACTGAATTACATTCCATTAGTTTTTATCAAATTCCGGTTTTTATCATCACAGGGTTCCCGTCACGTTTTCATAATCACCTGAAGTGAATTTTCGCTAAGCACAGATTCCAAGTTGTATATGTTGTGTTTTATTATTTTTTGCCATTTTTATTTAAGACTGATTATTATTATTATTTTGTTAATTGTTTTCCAAAGTATTTGATAGGTTTTTATCAGTTGTATACCTAGTACTTGTATTACAGATCTCAAATACCTAAAAGCTAAATGCTTTATATTCAACTACCTCAATATAAACAATTTATTTACATAAGATTTCTGCAAGTTGTATATATCAGATTTTATATATTTACATAATATTATATTCTTATTACATCAATACAAGTTGTGTGCTCATATTTTACTTTTTTATATTTGTAGAAGAAATGTACTGTTAATATACATTTTTGATAATTTAATGATACAATATTATTTTATGTAACGTTATTGTTAGAAATAGTTCTATATTGCACTGCACCTATATGTAATGCATTACTATAAGTAAAATTTAAACATGTATATGATACACATTATCACTTATTTCATTCCCCACACCCTTACCTTTACCTACTTAAAAAAATATTTTACAAAGTTTTGGAAAATAAAAATTAAAAAGAACTTTCATAGGAAGGTACATAACCACTTACTTTTTTACTTACTCAACGTATGTAAGTAAAAAATGAATATGTTATGTGCATGCATTTGTAGTAAAACTATAAAGAAATACATTTTTAGGTTTACTTTTATATTCAAAAATAAATTAAAATAGTTTATTTTAAACTATACAGACTAAACCAAAAGTAACGCCACAAAATTCATATTTTTGTAATGAGTCATTTTTCAAAAAAAATTTTAAACAGGTCAATTCGTTTTTATAAATGCTACATTTTAACAGTATTTTAACATTTCTGACGTCATTGGATTTTGAGTAACGACGTCATTACTAATTTTTTTAAGAAGCAAACAACAAATTTGTTGACTGATTTTGGCAGTAGATACATTCTCCTATACCTAAAAAAAAACAGTAAACAAAAATGTGGGTTACCATTTAAAAGATACTGATAACGACTTTACTTAAAATCTTAAAACTCATTGACGTTATAAATGATAGTATAATGAAAATGTATTATTTACAAAAAATAAAATCAATCTGTTTTGGGGGTATAAAAAAATACTCATAAAATCATGAATTTTGTGCGCTACTATTGGTTCACTAGTATTTAGATATACTCTATTTTGAAAATAAATGTAAATTTACTGCACTGTGCGCCATCTAGCGCTAAGTAGTTGAACAAAGTAAAAATTACTTAAATACAGCATCCTTTTTTGGATATGATTATATTTTTTACGTTTATGAATAGATGTCCGTCTTTAATCAATTTCTGACGTCACTGATCATCCGATTTTAAAGTGACATTTGATTCGCTGATCGAGGTATGGTGATGTTTATGTGTTTTGGTGTTTACACCTGCAGTTGGAGTGAAATCAAAAAACTCAAAAAATGGATGAGAACATACCCCCATTCAGTGGGGATTTTAATCTAAATGAGTTGCAAGGTATAGACGGTAAGAATCAATATCTATTTATTAAATAAATGTGCACAATTACAATTTATTGCATCATTTTAGACATCTTAACAAACTGCGAAAACGAATTGATGAAGACCAATGAGTTATTCACAGAAGAAGCCTTATTTTCTCAACTTGACCCTCTCTTACCCATGGATGATGTCAGCTTCGATTTGGGAAGTATCAGTGAATCTACGTTTCTTGATCCTCAAACTCTTTCACCTCTGAAGCAGCAAAATCCTGTATTTAATTCTCAAGTTTCACAGACTTTTCAGTCAAATCAATTTGTAAACACCCACAACAGTCAAGATTTTACAAAATTGAACAATATGGCAAGTACAGTGAAGCCAAACATGCAGCAGACCCAAAATCCAACTGCTGTTATCATTTCCCAATCACAACCTCTTGTTTACTCAAGCTTACCAATCCAACAAACCAATCAACAGCGTATAATCCTCCAACCAAATCCCAAATCTGAACAAATCACGAAAACACAACCTGTTATTGTACAAAATCTAAACCAAATCCCTTCTGATAAAATGCAACAGCTGTTGCTACAAGCAAAAATTGTCAAAACTAATCCCCAACCTACTGTTATGTACACCACTACAGTAGCTTCACCTCAACCTTCTTTGCATACTTTGGTGAACAGTGGAACTCAAATTTTGACCACTGGAATTCCTTTGGTCTTAGACACTGAGAATAAAGTTGCCATAAACAGAATTCCTCAAGGGACAGGGAAGGAACCCAAAGTTAAAGAGGTGAAGAGGAGTGCTCATAATGCTATTGAAAGGAAGTATAGAACCAGCATCAATGATAAGATTGTGGAGTTGAAAAATATCGTCGTGGGGACTGAAGCAAAGGTAAGACGTTTAGATCATTTTTATCGCATGTATCTGATTACAGTTATCTCATAATTTTATACAAAAGCGTAATACTCTATATGTGTACGATTTTGTGCATTACCTTATTGTCTATGATGTAAATAAATAAAAGCTTATGTTGCGATGATTGAATAACTGAAAAAAAAATATCATGCCGATTTAAATTTCTAATTTTTAATGTATTAACTCACAGCTAAACAAATCTGGTATTCTGAAGAAAACAATTGAATACATCCGCTTTTTACAAAACTCAAACACACGCCTGAAACAAGAAAACATGGCTTTAAAAATGGCTGCTCGTCAAAACACTCTGAAAGATCTTTTAACGACGGGCAAAAATATGGAATATGCCCCTCAAGACACTCCTCCTCATTCAGATGTTTCGTCCTCATCACCCGACCACTCTTTACCATCAAGTCCCGAATATTCAACATGTATTAAGGATGAAAGTGATGAAGAGACCGTTGGGATTTCGAAAGGCATGGTGGACCAAACCCGAATCACTATGTTCATGTTTATGTTGGCTGTCATTTCATTTAACCCTTTTGGAATAGTCTTAAAACAGTTTGCTTCTTCAGATCAGGAAGCGTCAAGCGTTGGACGAAATATTTTGTCGTCAGGTAAAACTTGAATTAAAATTGAACTGTAGTTGAAACAATATTGTATAGGTGACGGTCAAACTCCGTATTCGTTTGGTTCCTCGTTTATGCTCTGGTTCATAAATTTGACGATTTTTGGTTTTTGTTTGGTCAAAATGTTTGTTTATGGCGATCCGATTATTCCGAGTAGTTCGAAAGAAGCGCAGAAATTTTGGCGTCATAGAAAACAAGCCGATATTTATATCAAAGCAGGTGATAAACTCGAAGCGAAACAGGAACTTCGTAGGTGTCTCCAAACTTTCGGCATAACATTAGCAACGAGTCGTTTCGAACTCGTGTTGTCTCTTTGTTGGCAAGTGTTCCGTCAAGTTATGCATCGGTTATGGATCGGGAGGTGGTTGTCTAGACACGTTGGGGGTTTTTTCGTCGACGGGTAAGCATTAATTTTTGTCTCAAAGATCACAAAAATGATAAACGACTTTAGAGCCACCCGATACGAAGCTCTGACTTCGTGCCGCGAACTTTCTTTGGTTTATCACGACTTACATCAGCTCCAATTGGTAGATGGGCCGGAAGAAACTTGTCATCTTCTCGGTTTGACAACTGCACTGAGTGCACTTAATTTGGCCGAAGCGGCAAAACCCAAGATGAAGTCTGTTCAATTGATCGACATTTACGTCGCTTTGGCTTTAAGAATTAAAGCCTCGTGTTTGAATATTTTACAAGGGATTCAGAAATATTACTTAGGCTTGGCGAAATTAGCATCAACGAATTCCTGCGATCCGATACCGCCGAGGTTGCAATGGTTGTTGACACCTCACGGGTTTAAGTTTTTCCTTTCGCAGAAATTTCTCTATGATGCTAAAGCGACGAATTTGCCTTTCAGTTGTATTGGCAACGTTTCCGATCCCTTGTCTTTCGCCATGAAGGTTTGTTTTAATTTATGGGGGTTTTATAGGAAGTAAAAGACGTTTTTTGTAGTCGTATAGAGAACATTTACTGGAAACTGCACTACAAACTTTAACGACTCCTGGTAATAAAAATGACGTATATGAAGACAAAAAGACGGACATTACAGACGTGTCAACGTACGTCCATTTGTTGGTTGAAAATGTTGCCACCGATGTACATACGGTTTTCAATTCAAATCAGCCGCATAGTATGTTCTTTGCCTACACAAATGCAATTTTTATGTAATATATTTTTTAAGGTAATTGTGATGAAATTGCCCACTGGTGGACTTCAGTCGTCGATGTAGCCTCTCATTGGCTTCTTGGAGAAGAAAATATAGATGATCTTTATAAAAAAGTTGAAAACATATCTGAATCATTGTTAGATCTAGAAAATCCGCTCCCTAAAGCCGTTATTGGCGCTTTTGTGGCTAGGAAAAATTATCTTACAGCTGGATCGAGTTTTTCTCATAAGAAAATTTTAAAACAGTGTGACCACGCCAGTCAGTTGTTGATCGATTGTCTAACATACTCCAGTTGCAAATCACAGGATAGTTTGATTTTGGTTAGTACCTATTGATTATTATAGGAATTTGTTTGAGAAGAGAAGATTAGTGTTATGGTCTTGGGTGCATTGTAGTTGCATTGCATATTATTTAAAGTGCAGTGTCTCTCCAGTGCAACTTAGCGCATAATATAACGACTAAGATTTATTTTTGTAAAAATTTGGCTCTCCAATAGTTCCAAATATAAGATATTTTCTTTGCAGTTGGCACAGTTGCTGGTCTGTGATTGGATTCTTGAAACAAGAACCTCCCTTTGGGAAGATTCTGTTGAAATATCAACAACTCCGATCCCAGTTCCTAATAATGTTCTTACAGCGTTCCAAAAAGATTTATCTTCATTACGAACTTTAGCCCAACATATCCCTGTAAGTTGGCCTAAAATTTCTCTTTCAAGTTTTTTTGATTTGATTTTTTTAAAGAGCGCTTTGCCTCGTGTTTTTCTGTATGAAGCTACCGCCCGCTTGATGGCGGGCGCAGCCCCAGGCCGCACTCAACAACTCCTCGATCGCAGTTTGCGGCAACGTCACGCTCGTTCGTCGATGATTTGCGGCAAAGGCGATAAAAACCAACAGGATGTTGGAGGAGAGCGCCAACACGCGACCGCTTTGTATATGGCTTGCAAACATTTACCAGGTCAGTTAATGTCATCGCCTGGAGAAAGGGCTGGCATGTTGGTTGAAGCAGCGAAAACTATGGAAAGGATCGGAGATAAAAAGAAATTGCAGGAATGTTATAAGCTGATGAAGACACTCGGTGCCAACTCAGCCACGAATTAGCGTAATTAATTTTTATGGCGGACGTAAAATGTGATGTTTATGAGCCGAAATGGCGTGATTTCGGGCTGAATTGGCTTTAATTTTAATTAGTTTGTAAGCTTTGAAGAATGTGACAATATTTATTTTGTATAATTTTTATTTAATAAAGAGTCTGATAAGAAGAACCTTTTTGATTGGGGATGAAAATCTGGTCTTGCGGCAAAGTGCGTTGTATTTAATCTGAATGGGTCTTAAAAAGCGATCAAGTGTCGTTAGCAGCTGGGGAAGTCAGAATTAAGGGAACGTCGTGTGGTTAATAGGTGCGCACTCGCCTTTCGTACCACTGAATTTTGGTTCAATTAGGTTTTCAACTTGAGATAAAATGAAACAAGCTGTTTGTTTACATGACGGTGCTTTGCTCTTGGAAAAACGTATGCGAAGTTTATTGCAGTTTGAATAAAGAGACATTGCGAAAACGGTTAGCTTTCTTGTATTTACCTTTTGGATTTATTTTTCATAAAGTTGGAGAGGAGGCGGTATATCAACCTCTCAAAACCAATAAATGTGTTGACATGATGTCTCAGTAGCACTGTTTGAACAAGGAACCTTCTATAGATTGCGGAATACCGAGATATTGCCTGCTGGATGTTGAATCTAAGTTTTTTTTTAAATTAGAACTTCTTATCACTGCAAACTCGAAACAGCTACAACCAATCATTTTTTGTATTAGCAGCAAAAACCACCTACTCAAAAGTTATTGTTATTTAAACTTCTTTACTAAAAAATCAAATATACATATACTTTGAGAAAAAAAATTATGGAACAAGTTGAATACATATTAGCAAATGTTTTTCTTTTATACAATTCTTTGTTGGAGAAATAAAAAATAATTGAAATTTAGACTGTATCAGTACGTTTGTTTTTTTTAATATTTTTTATACACGATGAATAAAAAGTAAGGAACTAACTACTTTACTCAAAAATAATTAGTGTAGCGTAAAATACAATTAAAATGTGACCGTTTACCAAAAATAAAATTTTTCGATTTTTTTTAGTTTTCGAGTTTCGCAAAAAAAAATTTAATGGCAACCTACTGTTATAATTTTTTTTTAATTAAACACTATGATCTAAAAATGACTTCTAATTAAATAAATTTATTGTAATAATTTAAATTAATGTTTTTTTTTTAAATCAATTCTTAATGTTGCGTTCCGAGCTCATCAAAAAAACGCTTGGTTCCATACTTTTTATTTACCGTGTATGTAACATCATTTGAAAAGTGTTCCATTAATTTTATATGAATTTTGTTTTACTGTTATATGACTGATGTGTGTAATGGACTTTACGGAATAATTGATAAGGATAGAAAGTGATGATTAAGTCTGTCAATCAAAAAATTAATAGAACAGCAAAATGGAATTATGAATACAAGTTTTGTCCATCCTTTACGATCTTTTAATTGTTGTGTTTACTACGACTAACGAAGACCAGAAATAAAACACACAGAAGATGTGTAAAAATATTTTTAGTCAAATTAAACACACGTCGATTTGCGCCTTGTTACATGTTTAATTATACTAATATAACCTGTCTAGAGTAAAGCTTCTGATAAACGTCGAGTATACTTAAATGTTTTATTAACCACCAATTCCAATTGGTTACATTTAGAAATGATATAACCAATTTCTGAGTCGTGAAAGAAACAATAAAACGATGAACAATCCAGTAGAATGAAAATAAATCTGCCGTTTTGCAAGATGAAGAGCGTAATCAGCGCCTTGAATCCTCTGCATAGTTGGTAAGCTTACGCCTATTTCAAGAAGGAAATTACCTGGCTTCACCAACGAGTACAATTTACTGCATATTACTAACGTCGCACATTACTGCTACTTCTATGCCGTTTCCTGCCCTCTTCAATACAATCCTAACTACCTATACAAATTATAAAGTTAATAAAGCCTACGACAAAGCCGCACTCCGGATTCGAGACGCTTTTCGAGGGGATTTAACCAATTTCATGCAGTATCGGCACAGAAACCTCTCCAAAAATCTTTTTTTATGATTTTGTGATGTCAGATAATTACTTATACAAATTAATTAAAATAAAAGTCTGCACGTAATTCTAACATAGTAAGCGTGACGTATTATTATTTATTGCATTTACAATGCTCATAATTAAAATTTATAGGCCGTTTGCGGCACGCAACTTAACGTAGGTATACATTTTAACAAAATAATTTTGGGGATAATATTCTTCTTTAAATTGTTTTTAGCTTATCTGAATATTTTGCTAATTAATTACGGTTATCACAATCGCGTGGGTGCGGAATATAAAAGAATTTTCTTACACTACAATGACTTTCAATACAACTTAAACCCTGAAATGATTATTTACTTGTTATAAACGTTTATTTTAAAGTCGATACAGCTGCCACAGGGACAGTTGGAATCGCGAATAAAGCATAACTATAAAATCTGAATAAATGTAAAGTAGAATCTTGATTTTATGCGAAATAAAAGAAATTGAGACGTAAATAAATGCAATACTAATTAAACTGTCTTTAATTTGGGCGGTTTGGGGTGTGAGTAAATTACAATTTTCGTCAAATCTGTTTAATGAAATTTTTTATTGATCATTTCGGCATCGTCGGTACCCCTTTGTGAGGCAACAGGGTCGATAATGAGTAATGAAACTCTTACCACATATTGCCGTCGTTGTAATTAACGATTTTAGTTAATATTCTAATTTAGTTGAAAACGACCACACTTTACTATGGAACGGTTTCAAATTACATGACCGAACATATTTAACATTCATTTCAATCATTTTATGTTTTTATCTACTCGACATTCAAAATTTATCCAGTATTGACTTTTCAATCGCACAAACAAGAGTTGTGACTCTTTTTTAAATTTATTTCTAAAGTCTAACGTTCTAACAGCCAAGTTCTTTCCCAAAGGATTGTGTGTCGACTGTGCCTCCCTGGTGGAGCCGGCGTCTTGGATTTAACACTGTTGAGTAAATAATTTTGAAACTTATTAAGCTGCATAAAACTTAATATTTACTTAATACGATAATATCGTGGTAATGGGGCCACAATAAGGTTATAGTCGGTGCTTATTCACTTAAAAGGTAAACACAGAGAGACACCGACGAGGAACTCAGAGTCTCCGAAGTTTACAGGCTGTTTTATAATTATTTAACTTAAGCGTTTTTTTTTGTTTTTATAACTGAAATAAGTTTTATGTCGGGGTGCCACAGCAATAAATTTTAATTAAAAGATTAGATTAATCGTGATTAATTTTGGTCGAGAATAGAAATTCGAGTAAGGATTAGTTAGTCAAATAATTAATCTTAATTAGTACGATTTGATTTGTTTATCATAATAATTGATTACGTTGTGGTTATTGTTTTAATCAAGGCAAAGTGCTGATTGCGGTTTTTAACTTGTACTGGAGGCACTATTATTACTCATTAGAAAACTGAAACTGTCCTAGCATTTCAAAGCAATTACGGTGGCTTTTAACAACGCAGATAAATAGCGGATACTTCCTGTAATTTTAAAATAATGAATTGTAAGACGATACTGAGCACTTCTTGTTCGTTTTTTCTCGTCGAGTGCACGTATCTGTCATAGAAATGATGGATAAAGAAATATAATAATCTATCGGGCAGGGGCGGACTGGCAAATTTTTATATGGAGTGCTAAGTTGAAATGAGGGCCCAATATACAATACAATAATAGTTATTTATTGTAAGAGTGTGTTAGGTAGCGTTTTATCCACGCAAGAATGTTTAACCGCGAGAACGTCAGTTCGAGCGGTTAATTTTCTTAAGTGGATAAGACGCGACTAACACACGACTGCAATATAACGTTTTATCTACAATCACAGGCCCAAATTATTCCAAACTTAATTAGAAATTAAACTGACATTTAAACGTCACACCAAATGTGCTTTCGGTTAAACGTAGTAAGCTGTTAGGTTGCGCTGGTTACTAACAGTGGAATAAAGTTACTTTATTCCACTAGTGGATAAAGTGGTACTTTATACGCATCTAAAGTGTGGAATAAAGTCTCTTTATAGAGTGATTGTGGATAAAAATATGTATAAAAACTACTACTAATGTAGTAATTTTTTTTTAAAGAGTTTGTTTCCTCTATTGAGACATACATCAGTTGAAATCATGATGGTTTAATAAACGAAAATAAAATTTTTAGATGAACGTCTTCAGAGGCTGCTTGTAATTTTAATTTTTGTTTTTCTTTTCGATTCTGTGCACCAAATTTACACTTATATTTAGATTTTTCCATTATTTATGCCCACTAATAATTAAAAAAGAAATAAATTAAAATTAAATAAATTAAGTAAAAACGATATTTTACATCGGTTGATTACAAAATGTGTGGCATAACTTTAATTACGAATCAAAAATCGGTATGAAAAAATGATTTTCTATACTTAAATATTTTTATTACCGTTTATCCGATTGTTATTAAATTTTGCATGTTAAAGGACAAAAAGACACTCTTTGATTTGGTGTAAACGGAGGTGTTGTAGATGCTAAATATTTCCGGTAGCAATGGGTCCTCCCAGTTTTAGGATCATAACTTTTTTTCGGCTTATTAATTTCTATTCTTGATACAGCCCAATCATTTTTTTTTTAAAAAGATAGTTTCATATCGCCAAAATGTACCGTTCTCGAGTTATTTGAGTTTAAACTAAATTCTACACCGCGCTGCAAAATCAGAATTTATAAATTTTGAGCGTACCTTGGAAARAATCCACTACGAATGACATCGCTGTCAATGCTGTTATATTTAATGTAAATTTCATTAAATCCAAAGGAACATTTGTTTATTTCTTGATGATTATAAAAGCTGTAATTTTTCTATTGCTTGACGAGTTGGATTAACAAATACTGTGTTATCTATGCTCATTTGTAGAGGAGTATTCGTGATTAAAATTGACACAAATTTTTGAATCACCTGTATAAATCCATGCGTAATTTTTCTTACATGCGTGTAAGACCTTATAAACAAAATTGAGCTAAAATCATTGAAATTATAGTTTTATTTGTTATGATGGCAATTTTTTAATTCCTTCAAACTAAACACACTTAGCTTCTGTGAAAAACGCGTTTTAGCACTTCATGGATTAGCTCTATGCAATATCAAACTATAACCTTCTAGTGCATTTTGGAAACTTTATTTACAAATTTAAAATTATTGATATTATTTCAATGAGCTCTTGACATAATAAGTCTACCATAATTGAGGGCCCGTAAGATTCGAGGGCCCGGGGTGCTGTGGCACCCCGGCACCCCTGGCCAGTCCGCCCCTGCTATCGGGGGTTTTGTTCGCGAATCAATCGTATGTGGGAGTTAATGGCGTAATTTCGTATTGTTTATGCGGATATAGTTTCAATTGGGGTGATTAATGGATAATGGTTTTCATAGAGCTGAAGACAATTATCTTTAACTGCGAGGCGAACATTTTATAACCCCCTCTCAAAAAAGCGAAATAAATGGTCTTAAATTCAGCTCGCAATTTGGATATATGTTTCATAAAGTCGTAAATTTTAGTAATACTCTTACTCTTTCAGATATTTTACTTTAATAAATTATAACGGGCCGAGGCGAACTGCCTTATTTTGTTTAATGAAGCTGTCATTCCGCGAATTAATTATATCCTGAACGGTATAAATCCTCGCCTTCACACAAATTGGCGGCGGTAAATGTATACAAGGGATTGTGCAACAAAATCAATGACTTGTTTTTTTTTTCGTTGAAACAATCAAACTTGTTTGTGTAGACTTGAGAAAGAATCGATTTATTCTGGTGGTGCACCTTAATTAACACAAAAATGAAGTCGTGAACTTGAGTACTGTGTAAATCTTGGCTATATTCTCGCCTCATCGGTAATTTACCGCTTCCTTCCCGCTTTAAGAAATAAGAGCACGTCGTCCCTTTCACACTTCAACGACACTGTATTTTATTACTTTCCCAGTCGGCAAACCGCAGAACTCCTTAATAACACTGATCTTTTAAAGATCAGGCATGTGTTAGTTACAGAAGCGAATATAAAGAACTGGAACAAAGAAAATGATAATCTCAAGTAGCGATCAAAAGGATTAATTCACCAGAAACAGATTATTTCTTTGGGCTTTGGGGCTCGTGTTCCGGGTTCCTCAGACACTGGTGACCTTTAACGAGCTTTGTCTTTTTCTAAATGTTTTTTAATTTTTTTCGGTTTTTGTACACCAAACCAATCATCTACTTAGTCTTTCTAATAAGCCACACAAATTGCCTCTTCAAGTTGTTCTTTTGGTACGAAAGGCTTTCTTAATTAGGGTTCAAAGTTTCATAACATGAAAAGTTTCTGAACTGTATCGTCTCGTTATAATTTTTACTGTATTTTGGCGTTTTCCTTTGATAAATAGCCGTATGAAGTTTTTCATCCATACCACAATTTTTTTTTTATTTGTTTTTATTACTCCAAATTTTTAAGTTTCTATTACATGACTTGTGCCAATTATATGTGTTGAAAAAGGACATTTTGCAAATGGCTCTCTTTGATTGTTTAGAAGGACTGAGTAATCTTCTCTGTATTCTCTTCTCTAATTTAAATGTTTGAACGGTTGAGTCCAGAACTCGGTTTCCGTCTGATTTTTGCCAAACCTGATGAGGGTTTTACACGCTCCATCCAGTCAATTTGTGATCCTGACATTTTGAATGTCACTAGACCTGTTTACTATTGATTTATGTAAAGAGCTGTCACGGCTTCCGATTTATCGAGAATGTGTTTTTTATTGAAAATGATGTTTGACTGCAGTAAGATGGCCGAAACAAATAAAACTAAATAAAGCATGAAAATGCTGAAATGGAATGTCTTTGTAAGCATTTCATGCATTTGCGAGCTTATGACTGGTGTCATTATACCAAGAACATTTATCTGCTTTTGTATTTCGAGAATTAAAATATCTGTGTAATTTTGTGTTTGAGATTTTTTATTAAAGTGTGTGTTGTAATTAAACTGTAAATTGTAGTAAAATAATGTAGTTTGCTCTTGCTAAAATTAATTAAAACCAAATATTGTAAATTACAATCCGTTCAAAACTTGTTAAAATAATAAACCGTTACATTTTTTTTTAGCACATAGATGAAAATTAAATGTTTTCGTTTCCTAAAGAAAACTACGAAGCGTCTCAATCTATATTTACATTTAATTAATATATTACCGTGTATAAGTGCTTCGATCCCGCAACCTTATGCAAAAATCTCTGTAATAAAAATATGCTCGTATTATACAGAGAAACATGCCAAGATTGCTCGATAAAATTGCGTGTAAACACGGGGTTCATATACAAATTTTAATTACGGCACGGGTACGTTATCGCAACTTATCCACAAGTAAATTACAAACACAGCTAAACAAGCAAAAACAAAACGTATGCACCCGCCTCCAAAAACACCGAGATTTAATAACTTGGTTGGGTATTGTAGATTTCGAGTTTCAATCGTCGGTTTAATAATGAATTGGCGTACAAAACTTGCCACGTACCTGCTCCAGGACCAGCTCTCTTACAGCTAAATAAATTAACCCACACAAAACAAGATGATAATTAATGAACTTGAAATTGTTTGTTATTTTTTTACAGAAATAATAATTAATGGTTTAATTTTAATATAATTTTCTGAATAGGTATTTAAGTAAATATATTGTTTCTGACTCGGCGCATCCACCATTTCACCATTTCATTATCTAATTTTATGCTGAAATGAGTTGAGTAATTAAAACGACCTTCATGTTGTTTTTGTGATTGAAAGTTTTTACCATTAATAATAATTAATTAATACATTTATATACATTTCTTAAATTATCTTTCTTTCTTGAATCTTCGATACTTACTTTCTACAAAAATAACGGTTTAGGTAAAACATGTTGATTCCTTGAATAAAAAAAAACTTTTGAAATCCTTTTGGACAAAAACATTTGAGTGATTTGCCAGAAATAATTTAGTTTTCAGTAAAATTTATATCTCACTGTAAATATTTAGGTACGTATATTTATCTATTATGTTCTGACCTTATGTATCCACCATTTATATTTATTAGTAATAATAACGAATCTTACGTTCTAATAATTGTCTTTGGCATTTTGTTCCCAAAATTACTTACCTTTTAGGAGAATTACGACTGAGGTAAAAACATGTTGTGTTTGAATTAAAAAAAATATGAAAAATAAAATTGGAAGTCTAGTTTTTATATTTTATGTAAAACGTCGATTTTTCTTAAAAATTTACGTTTAATTGACCTAGCTTTGGAACAAAAAGTTACGATCTCATCTTTAAACACTAGAACAAAGAAGTTGATGTCCTAGTTACAAGTCTATGTTGTCGTCGCGATAGATTTTTACATTAGCATTGTTGATCGCTTGCCTTTGTCGGAGCTGTTAGATTTTATGAGAAATGGTTTACTTTTTTATTTGCCGATGTAATAAAATGGGTGTATGAAAGAGGCGTGTAAATAACATACGGCGTTTGTTAATAAATTTTATTTTTGTATTAATCTATATTTTACAATTTGGCATTATACATTAATGTGCTACTTACGAAGCATACAAATTCATTGCTAAACTTAACGCTTTCGAAGTCTGAGAACTAAAATTAGGAAGATTGTTATCGAATTAAAAATGAAAAAGTCATTATTGAAATATTAATCCGCTTTGTTTATTTTTAAATAAAAACTGTTTATGAATAAGTAATGTATTGTTGAACATTAAATGTTGGTTGGTTGTTTCGGTTGCTTTGTTTTCGTGAATGTTTGTCTTTAAGTTAGTAAGGGTCACCATGTTTGTAATAGGTTTAGTACAAGTTACCCTGCATAACAGTATAATTCCAGTTATATAGTTGTTTCTGATTTACTCTAATGTTTCACATGTGTATTTAGACACAGATTTGCTTTTAATCTTCGAATGGATGAAAACTCGTAATTGCAGGATGAAATATATTTCGAAAAAGTCTGGAATTAAATTTGAAGATTTACGTGGATCACTATTTTAATTCGAAAAGAAATTCTGGCGGGATTATCTCGAAGTTTGCCAGTTTGTCACAGTCTCAGTGAATCAAGGGCTCCGAGGTGGGCATTACTTTAATTAAGTGCCAGCTGATGCCCGATTATTCTCAGACTTCGAGTTTCATTTCGTCCAAGCTGACATACAGACAAGATTGAAATGAATATAAGTATTTGCTTCTGCAGACAATTTAACTCTTATTAGCGTAATTAATTTTCTTGTTAAATAATAAAATATCTGTTTGCCTTATTCATTACCTGGACACGGTTTGTTATTGTATAATCGTCACACATAATGCCTAATGCTCACGCCCTGCTACACACTTAACATCCCGTGCGGAAAGCTCCGCTTTTTCGCACCTCCACTTGGTCATTATTGCATACGTTATCACAAAATGCGTCTCTTAGTTTGTCGATTATATACAAGAGTTGTCGGTGGTGCAGCTCAGTGTCGCAAATGCCAGTTCGCCGGCGAGTGTAGCCCCTTATCATTGTCAGTCCATTTATTAACTGGAACAACACAGGTCCATTAACAGTGGCATACGTGGGGCTCTCGTGTATCATTTACCTTTGTAATACATCTCCTTGTGCATAGAAGGACAGTTGCCGTTCTGTAACAAAACATAAACGGATTTCAGTGTGTTTTATTGCAACCATCACAAGTCAATTAGGCTTTGAACGCAAACGACCGCCGCAATTACAAGGATTTCGAATTCAGGACTTGAATGTCTGAAAGCGACGCGAATTTCAGATATGTCGACGATCTACTGAAATAAATAACGAGACGACGCTAATTGAAGCTCGGAATTAAATCGCGACATGTGGTGGAGGCGTCGGGGTAGCTTTATGACACCTCCACAGGATTAAATTAAAAATTTATCAGTGGTTCCAAATTTATACCGAACCGCAATATTTTTAATATGCTTTTTTAACAATTACTTATCACCGTCTCAATGTAAATATACGAGACTTTATTAAATTCTTTAAAAAATTCCAATTTATTGCGCGCTGACACGCGATTCACTTTTTAGCTACCACCAACTATTGAACAAAATAAAAATTATAAATGAGAAATAATATGTAATAAATATAAAAAACAAATAATTATGACGAAAATGTATCAACACTTTTTTAATTTAAAGGTTTGTTTCGCTTGTGGCCCATTTCGTCAAAAAAAAATCAAAGTAGAGAAATATTTTATTGGGAAAGGTGGCAATATTTTTGCCCATTGGTACCATAACTCAAAACCTTTGATATTCTTGTGGACTTTAAAGTGCACATATATTACACCTAGAAGCAGGGAGCTTAAGTTTACAAAAGAAAGTGTCTGGATAATATATCGATAAGTGTTTGATCCTACGCATGAGAGAAGAGACGAATAGATACGATAATCTACATGTTTATCTGTTTACATAGTCTGTTGGCTATAAATATGAATAAATTCGAATTTTTATACTCAAACAATGACGTTATTGTTAACAAGTTAATACAATGATGATATAATAATTTTCATTCTGTAAACCTCATATTCTAGGATTGACATCTGCGTTTTCAATCAGAAATTGAATAGGTAATTTAATCTTTTTTGAAAATATACAATAAGTGTCAGACTCAGTGTCAGAACTCCGCACAGTTTTGTGTGGAATTCATGGTTCATTTTAAAGTGTTCTAAGTATTTCTACTTGGGCAAGTATTTCTCTGATTAAAAAATACAATAGCGCCAATTACAGTTTCTGAAAATTTAGCTCGTGTTATAAAAGCAGTATGATGTGAAAACTGTGAGTGAATTTTTTGTTATTAATTTAAATGCAAGTATCGAGTGCAGGCACTTAAAAATGAACTCCGCGTTTGCTCCATTCATTGAACTAGTTTTTAATACAGAAATTAAGGTAATTATCTTGAGTTTATTTAACCATTATATCCGAACGTAGCCGTAATTGGTGCATTTTAATATGTTTGTGCTAATGGGAGATTGCAAAACGTGCCTTGAATAGCGGCGAGTTGGCTCAAAAGTAAGAAAGGAATACATGGGAGAGAGCCTGTTGCAATGCAGAGTATAACTGACCGGAAGTGAACATACCGCAGCACATCCACGCGATTTTAATACAGGAAATTGGAAACCAGACAATGCAAATTTTGCCTACGTGCTGCCTTGGATTTGTGTGTTTTCTATGTAAATTTTAATTAATGCTTTTGAAGAGTGACAAAGGGCCAAAGTAGGATTGTCGATTATTCTTGTTTGAAACGGAGATGGGGCTGCCGTTTATTAACATCATTTCAATGGTGATCTGGTCTTGTTTAAATATTATCAACCGCGATAAACAACAGCGTGTCGGATACTTTGAAATGCTGAATGAAATTTTAATGAAATTTATTAACAGGGAACAGTATGTGTGAGTTCACGAACTAATCTCATAATCCTAATACAAATTTATTACCGAAGTGGTACACATAGAACCAAATTACTAAATTTATCTGGGCTGAGTTATGGGGCAGTATTGCATCATGGAAATTGCACCCTCTCAGGAACACCTGCAGATATGGACTATTTAATGAGAAAATTTGCAAAACAATAAATTGTTTTTGTTTACTTTCCAATCAACAGTAGTAATTAATGAAGGATTAGTTAAAGTGAATTTGAATTACATAAACTGTACAAGACCCACATCATTTTGTTTAGCCTTCAATCGATGAACTTGTCTCTAGCACCTTTAGACATGCGAAAAGCTGCACTTGATTTGATTTTGACAATTTCGATTTTTTCAAAATTTTGATCGTTTTCCGGTAACTGCAGTAGATTTGCGCCAATAACACAGGAATTGCTTTTGTAGTGGCGGACGCTTAGAAATCAGTTCGCGGGAGGAGAACTCAGGAAACAAGTTATTAATTTTATGTTATTGGAGCTTATTTGAGCTTATTTTAATGTTGAGAAACTCAAGCCAGTGGAAATAGTCAACACATTATGTCGCATCTTGGATAATTTAGGACGTGTTTAAAAAATTAATCGAGTTTGTTTAGGTCGGGTCGAACTAAATCAATCCGCTCAAAGCGGCTTAATTAAACATGTTTGATCGTGTAAAGTGTGAGGTGCTCATTATTTTTTAACGAAAATTAATTGCTCGTTGAAACCGTTGTAATCACACTCCCCTAATATTTGTTAAAACTTACAAGCTCACTTCAATGTTGTATAATTACGCGACAACAAGAGCATTAGCGGAGCTTTGGGCGTTCTCAAGACAACTCAAGTTAAGAGTTTTCCCGGTCGCCGAAGGCGGGAAAGCATTCTGTTAATGTCATTTAAACACGGGGTCATTCAAGCATTAATCTCGGCGAGAGGAAATAGGCAATTGACTTTTTAAATCGTCAGTTATTTAGACGGGAAACAGCAAATCGTTTAATTCGAGAGGAAAAATTCGTAAATGGCATTACCCCCGTTTTCAGGGGGTAATTACCACCATTACGAACATCCCCGACATTCTCTCCTTAAATAATTTAATAAATGGATATGGCCGCACTAAAGTCATCGATTTTCGCCGGGTCAAACTTTAAAATATCCCTGGGATGGACCAAATTACGCAAATTGCCGGCTTTTAACTAATCAGGTGTGTGAGCGGCCGCGAAGAACTCATTAATAAAATAACAACAATAACTTGGAGGGACGGAGTGTTATAATCGTTTCCGAGCTTTAGGCGCTTTGTGCGGATTAAATCTCGTTGCATTCCTTTGATGTAATTTTCGACAGTGTTAACACTCGGGCCAGAGTGTCGGTTTAAACGACGAGCGCCCTAATCCCTTTAAATATTATATTATAAACTAATTTTATCTGCCTTGTGTAATCTATTTTTCACTTAGAAGATGCCGGGATAAGAGGAAGAAAAGGAAAAAGGCAATAGTCATGCGTATAAATTGTAACACATTGCCAGATAATGCCCATATCTGTAGATATTGCAGTTAGTAACGGCACTTGTCTTCTCCTTTTCACGACGATTTCTTATCTTACACTTAATATCTTATCTTTACACTTGACTGTTATTTTTGGACCGTTGGACGTTGCTGTTTAATTTTTTTACGATTTCGATATATTTGGCTTTATTGCCTTTTATATTGTTTTGCTCCGAGCCAAATTCGAGGTAATAAAACAACGACAATTTAAAGTTTAGGGATAAAAAGTTTCAACAAATTCTACAAGCGTGCATGCTACAGATAGGAAGGTGTTTTATTAGCCAAGTATAATTCAACTTAAAAAAATATTTTTTGTATTCGAGTTTATTCTCAAGATTTATTAGGTAAATATTAATTAAAAATTGAAATAGAACGTTTTTCGTTTTGAAAAACTGGTGTTTATTTTTAGAAATTGTTAATAAATGAAATTGTTTGTGCGTTTGAGTTATGAGTGTCCTGATTTCGAGGCCAATTGGCTAATCGATCATTTCGGTTGAATCCTCCTCTGCTTTATAAATATTTATTTATATCAGTGGTCATAATGTCGACAATTTGCGGTAAGAGTATAATCGCTTGGTAGCTTATAATAGCTGCGGCGGCACCTCAGTTTCAATTACTGATTCCGGCGGCGGGAGTCCGGAAGTGAAAGGGGGGCCTTCCATTAACTAAGCCTTTCTCCTGAGACCGAGAGTCATCTATCACCCCAGGTCTTGGCTACAAGCATGCAAAGTGCACATTAGCACCGACTAGATGAACATAAGGAGCGATTTGTGACCGAGATATCACTTCTCAAAAGAAACACTGCCACAAAGTCACTTTGAGCAAAAATTTCTATTAATCAAAGCAAAATACAAACCACGGCATTCTTGAAGTTGATGTTGGTTCTGATGGTTCTCTGATGGAGCGGCTGGACCGGACGGGCGTTGTTGCCCAAAGGGGCTTTGGGCGCTTCTTTCGAACCCTGCATCAGCTTCCTTAATTGGTACATCTGCAAAAACACAAAAAGAAAAGCGGTTCAATGGGGCCGGATTAAAACGCAATCTTTCTCAATCAGACGGACGAATTGTGACCGAGTAGTGGACCAAGTCCGCAAAACGACAGCTCAGCGTTTCCATTCGGACTTTTAAATGCTTTCGCAATTTAGTTTTTCAAGGCGAGACGTTGGAAACCTCAGATTAAATGCAAAACTTAAATCAATTCCAGTTTGGGATTCAAAAATAAAAATGTTGGAAGCTTCAAATGTTAACAATATCGGTTGCCCCCACAATTTTTTTCCTAATCTCTTTAAACGGCTGCAATTTGGAAGTATCGAGCGATGATTCGCGCTTAAAAAGTAATTCGATATAATTAAACGGTAATGGATTAAATCCGCCGAAATTAATAGAGGTAATTTTATCGCTGTAATAAATTACCGCATTCATCAATTCTCAGCGGGCTTGAGTTGCTAAAATGAGTCCCTTGTGTCCAGTGAAAGGCCGCAGAACGCCACTGTAGCACTTTTAGTTACTTTGAAAAATAAAAATAACTCGTTGTGATTGTCGACGCGAATTTCCTACAATTTATGGAAGTAAAAAATCTGGCGGCGTACTAAAGAGGCCTTGCCAGTCTGTCTTTCAAGCTCATAACATTTATATGACGTTTACATCTTGTAGCGATATATAAATGACATCGCACCGCGTAAATTTGTAATGCTTTCGAGGGACGAGCCCGAAAACACTCAAATCGCCTAATACAAAGCAAATAGAAATCGGGCACTGTTTGCATTTAGTTATATCGGTTTTTTCCCGTATTGCCTTGTATCGATTCGGCTAAAAGGAATTGAATTAATAGCTTTGTTTGTGTTCAGCTTGAGGCATAACAATTCAGAGATAATAAATCAAAAAACAACGACCCTCACACCGCTAACACTGATTTCTTACCTCTTGCCTAGTAATATAAATGGGCTTATTAAGGATGATCCAAACAGTAGTCTCCCAACAGCCAGGATGCGTCGTCGAGCCTTCATATGTCATAAAGTGCTCTGTGTCTGGCAGCATATTTTTTAAAGATAAATGTTTTATCGGTGTGGAAGCGCCTGAAATCGAACAGAAAAACAGTCAGTTAACACAGATAAATCCTATTAGCATCAAAATATCTCCACGAAAAACATGGTGTTTAGTTTGGGAAATATTTAAAAATTTAGTTCTTCTTTACTAATTTTACGCTAATGGGTGAATGATTAAAAATGTAAATTTTGCTAACTAGGTATGTGTTTTTATACCTACTCTTATATTCTTTACTTTTTTTATTGTCCGTTTGCTGTGAAACATATAAAATTTTTAATTCGTTCCCTTGTCAAAATACCAAGTAAATAATAATTCACGTAGTGCCTCATTTAAAATTCTCGGAATTATCACAAAATTGGGCCATATAGTAACAAAGGTGGAGCTGGTAAAAAAGTGACGGCAATTATGTCAGTCAGGCTCAGCTGGGGTCTGGGTAGTTCATAATTTTAACTAGCGCCATGTCGGCCTTGTCATACGTTTTATTTCAACGTTCATACTTCTAGTTTCAGTTTTTGTTAGTTCGGCTTGTCCCAAATTAAATTCAGCAATGTTGGGGAGTTTATAAGAAATCTGAATCTCGGTTCACTTATTATTCATTTTCAACGCGTTGTTCAGTGAACAACGATTTGTAAAAGCGCGAATGCATGTGTGTGGGAACATTTCTCATCGCCAGCCATTTGTATCTATTTTTAACGTTGCGAGGAATCGAGTTGTATCCTTGATACGATTTGTGAATATTCAATGTTTTACCTAGGAGCTAATGAGCGTCAACTCTCATAATGTTAATTACAAGGTTTAATCAAATGTTAATATCAATTTATTGTTTGAGAATATTGTGTATTACAACTTTACACAGCTGGAAATTCACAAGGTTTAATTATATGTAAATAAAGCCAAGCAATCTGTCGAACAGCGACTATTTGTTCGGCAATTATTTTAAGTAAATCATTATCGGTAAATATTCTTGATGGCAATTGAATATGACCGCAGTATCGAATAGAATTCAATTTTTCGGCTCATCATTATCTCAAAACAAACCAAATTATACGAATGCTTTCGTTGAAGGGAATTGGAGAAGTTTATTAAATTATTCCGTGAATCACCAGATTTATCTTCTAGTATTGATTTTTTTGCCTTTTGAGCAAAGAAAACATTTTACAACAAAAATATTTTTTTACATTAATATTAATACAGCCAACAAATTTTAATTTCAGTTTATTTAAACAATTGTAAAAAGATGCGATAAAATTTTAAGGTTCACATTTTGATTTGTATTTTATTTTTCTTCAATTCAAGCATTGCAACTAAAAATAACGAAAAGCTTTCATGTAACAAGGATACAATCTTTTTAAATTTGATGTCATATCTTCTTTATATAAATATAATAAAACAGGTTTAGATAGAAACATAAATACATTTTTAATAAAATTTCTGAAAAAATGTATTCAATTTTGATCTTTTGAATTGTAAAAGAATATGTATTTATTTCTGTTTTCAATCAGCATCCAATCTGCTGTAACAAAACGTGAATTAATGTTGATATATTTGTGTGGGTAATGAAATTTTACCCTTTGTTTTGTTTATTTCTTGCTCAAAATGTATTTTTGTTTACTACCCATAAAGCTTACTAATTTGAGTTTACAATTTTTGCTAGAAGTAGGTATCAAAATTTTTTAAATGTAGATTTAGTTTTTGCTTGGAATAATGGCGATGGCTTGTAGATTAAGCAGATTAGATTCCAAACGCAGTAAATGTCAAATGTATTAAAGCAAGGAAACAACATTAAAAATGCAAAGAAATAAAGTCACGTAACGTCGGCATATCACTCGATAAATGTAAATATTTTTTACAAAGTAATTGTCGGATTATACAAAAATATAAATTATGCATTTTTGTATTATACCAAATAAAATCTTAAACGCGTTATAATAATTTGATAACTTGAAAGTAATAGCGATCATAAAACTTGAATCAATAATAAAGTATAACAAAGTTGTTTTAAATAAAATTTGCATAAATTTTGTAGTGCACTCGTATGGATCAAGCGTTCTACATACATATTTAAAAATAAAAAAAAAATAAAAACCAGTTTTTTATTTAATTTGAAATGTTTACAAAAGTTGCGTTGTATTAAATAATAAAACATTGTTTTTAGTATTTTTAAATTAATTGTTAATTAATTCATATGTATGAGAAAAATAAAAATACCTAATTTTATTTTGTTTTATCCCGGCGCATCCACCATTTTTACGTATGGTACTTTTCTTTAGCATTTAACACACTTACTTTTCCATTATGTTCGCATATTTAAAAACTTAGTTTTTATGTAGGCTAAATTTTTTACAAGAAATTTTGGTCTTTTGTGAAATTATGTAGATTTTTACTTTTGGTAGAGTTTAACTGTTGAATTATTGATTGTTCACCCAGATATTACTCAAAGATAAAGCGTCAAATTCAGTAACAAAGTAAAATAAAACCGTGCGAGTCGTAAGACCGAAAATTAGACATTTACATTTTGTTTACCTGTGCGCAGTTTTCGCTAACAACGGGTCTTGAGAGAGCCTTCTCTCCATAAAACAGGATGGGGCAACCCTAGCCGTGCAACTAAACTAGAGCGACAACCAATGCATATAGTCAACAAAATTTAACTCTTCTTGTCTTTTTGAAAACATATTATAAATAGAGAGAGAATCATAGCACGTAATCTCTTTTTACTTCGACATAGGTTTTATACTGCAGTATCATGGGAATGCAGTTGATTTGGAAATCTATGACAAGCAATGCGTCGCATCCGTTGCGCCGAAATTGTACAAAATAAACGCTCGTTTAGATTAACGCCAGCACTCGTTCTGTGGTTGTAGGAATTCTGTTTGGCTAATGGATTAATGGCACCATCCGAACAAGAAAATCGTCATGACCTGCACACGACTTTTGATGATATGTTTACGGTTACAATTAAATTAAAACCCAGTTATTATTTCCTATTTTCTAATTAGAATTTTTGTTTTATTTTATAATGGAGATTTTCTAATATCAAAGATGCTTTTGCAAATTTGTTAAGAGAATACTAAAACAGGCTGTTAATATTAAAATGCAAAATTAAACGAATTGCTTGCACATACATAGGATTAGAAGATTATTAAACTACGTTGTTTTGCATTAACTATTTTAATTTTGTTTTGCATTTAAGAAAAAAACAGCGTTTTAATTTAGTGCTGTATCGGAAAAGATCAAAGGAAGAAAAGATTTTTTCTAAAATAATAAACTGAGTCATTCATAGTAAATTACGAGGACACATTTCATCCATCTTAAGCGGGTGGAAGAAACTCATTGAATATTTAAATATACGAAGTAAATGTATAAAAAAAAACTCTTTACTCTTTTAATATTTATCTCTTTAGCGATTTACAAAGTCACTGAATTTAATGAACATCTTTTATGTTTGCATTTACATAATGTTTGTGCTTTGATACGTAAAACAAGTTTCGTTATATACAGTATTTTGCCTTTGAAAGATTATTCCACTAAGACTAAATACAAAATTAGACATTTGCATCATAGATAAATCTATTCTCTTAACGCATAATTTCTGGTTTGTAACAAAACACCTTAAATTAAGAAGCAATCACAAAAACATGCACCTGTTTCACAATAATTATACAAAATCACGGAACGAAAGCATTACTACCTCGATAACCTCTGATAGCCCAACACCATATTTCACTAGAAGGAAACGGCTTTCACCAACTCTTATATCGTTGCTTGGGCTACCGAAGTACTGGAGATTCTTAACTATATAATAATAGTTACCATCGATCCAACTTAAAAATCGTATTTTTATTTCTATAAATAAATGAACAGCTTTAAATCGTTTTATTGTGGCCAACACAAAAACCGACATGTGACAAAGGGATAATCTCTATTAAGTGATTAAACCAGCTTCGCTTTTCGACGGTCCCGTGTTTTTATTTTGACTCACGAAACTGGCACGATCTGTCGATAGCACGATATCTAATTGTAAACTTTTTAAATGGATTCACTGGAATCGTGTTATCCACATGAAAGCATCAAACAAGTAAAAATAAACAATAACAAGAATTTGACAGAGAGGAAAATAAATTTGCAAATGAGATTAGAATTCGATGAATTAAATTGCAAATGTTGATCCTCTGTACCAATGATCAAAGTATTAAAATACAGCTTTCTATGGAAAACTTGTTGACTAATTTCTATAGGTAATTGCTTTAGTAAAATATTAATGTATTTATGCAACACATTAACTTAATTGATTGCTCTGTTTTTATTTCAAAGTAAAAGTATATCTATGTAATCACTACTAAGTGCGTCCGTTGAGTAGAACAGTTATTTCAAAGTATTTTGGCCCATTTCTTATGTTCTTACTACATGGGTCTGTTTAGAATAGACCTTAATTGTAATATAGTAAACAACAATGATATTTTTTTTTATATTAATGTGCATCAAGTAGGTTGTAGAAGTCTTTAACTTAAAGGCCGATTCACACAAAAAGTGTCATTAATGTATAATGTCATTCAGAACAAATTTCATCACATCAATAATAATGACAAAAATCTTTATGTTTGCTACCCTACTTTAATTAAGTTGTTAATTTTAATTATTTTTTGATACTTGGGGCACACATTTATTTGAAAAAATATTTTTTAGGAAAGATTGAGGTTAGGATTGTTTGAATTTTTTCATGGTTGCCACCTTAAAATAATCCTTTTCAACGACTACTTCGATGCACATTAATATGAAAACGAGTATAGAGATAAAGTGAAATAATAATTAAATATTAAATAAATTAATAAAAATAATAGTATATTATAATACTAGTTTATAAGCAACCTTTTAAAACACGCACGGTTTAAGAGCACGACGCGTCAGCGGAGTGCTTTTAACGTCGTAAGTTTCTTAAAGGCGCTTATAAACGAGTGTTATACGCTATTTTTTATTATACCTGCCCATTTACGATCTTTTATGAGCATTGAAAAAATGTGAATTTACACAATAAAATTATCAAAGGTTGTTTGTGAATCGTTTTCGTAGAGACGGTTACTAGTTTACGTTGTTAAACACATTTTTTCACGTTGTAATTGGTCCGGACATTTCACTATTTCTTGTTACCTAGACAACTTTAAAATTTCAGCGTGCTGTAAAGGCCAAATTGCACACACTGCAGCATGTTTTAATTTAGGATTATGATGCAGGTATAATAAAAAAGTAAATGATAATTAAATGGTTTTTAGGTACACAATCAATAGTTGTTATCATCATTAAAATTAGTCATAATTAAACGAATTTCAGAAATAATAATGTTATAATAAAACTAATTTGACACATCCAAATTTTCGCGGCGTGTCATTCACTAAAATGGTACATTTTTAGGACATAAAAACCGTTAGGTACAAAATGATTTTTAAATATAAAATCTATCGATTTTATAATTATTATAGTTATTTCCTCGACGAGTTTGACTGTAAATCGGACGCTTTACTTCAAGAGTGGATATTCCACGAGGTGGAATAAATTAAGCGATTTACACGAAGACGAGTTGAATACAACATTTTATTTCGACTCAACAAGGCTTAAAATTGCATTAAATCTGTTAAAAATAATCAATCTAATACGTTTCGTATTGAGAAATACCAAACAGTTTTCACACAAGAGAAATTTAAAAATTTAAATTTTAATCGTGTCGAAGAATAAAAATTTTAAGGATTTTGCCTCACTTTTTTAGTTTTGTATTATATGGGGCTGTTCACCACACAACACTTTTTAAGGTATTTGAACCTGTTTTTCAAGGTAGTTTTTAAAAGTTAAAATTGAAGTATTTTGCCCTGTTTTTAAAGAATATACAGGATGCGCCAGAACTCGCGCCCCTGAGAAAAATGCCATATAAGGTAAGATACCAGGAACATGGAAAAAATGTTAAAAAAATTTTATCTATAAAAATTTCGAAGTTATGAGGGTTTAAAGTTTGCACTTTGACTCTATTTATTTCTGTTGGAAAAACAATTTTCCAAGTTTTTTTGCTATAGTCTATTAAAAGAGGAAAGAAGGAAGCTATATTCTAAATTGTAACTCTGTTCAATGTTATTTGAGGCTTTTATTGCCAAATTTTTCTCCCTTTACTAAATAATTGTAAAAAAACATGTACAAGATTATAAATATCATTAAATAGATATAAAAAAATGTCAAATGTCAAAAATTAAATGTCAAAATTTTTGGACAGATGGAATTTTTTAAACATTTTTTCATGCTCTTGGTTTCTTACCTTACTTGAAAATTTTCTCTGGGGCGCGAGTTCTGGCGCACCCTGTATAACAGACCTACTCGGTAATGTAAGTGTATACCTAATCGAATGTTATAACATATTTAGTTAGAAAGGGCTCTGTAGTTTATTATACCTGGTGTCCCACCGTGTATACAAAATTTTTCTTTGATTTGACTCAAAATGTTTGTGTATGCCAGCATAATTGCAGTAGCCAGAAGTAATCGTGCTAGTGGCTTCCTATTCTCCGGGGAATTAAGTCTGCTAAATTAGTGAGGTACCCAAGCAATCGGAATTTGTCAGTAATAGTCTTGAAATAACTTCTCGTAGGTAGGTAGGTGATTGCTGATGAGATTCTCCTTCCAATGTGATTGTTGTGCCGGTTGTTGGATTCTCTATGCAAGTGGAAGCAATCGTCGCACACGTAGTATAGTTAACATTTAATCATAAGGTCGACATCAACCGCGAGCAGGTGCTAATCCCTTCGGATTAAGCCAACGTTGTCAGTCGACATGCACGGATACATCATCGCACCATTCCCACCTCGCGCAGGGCGCTGCACCAACTGATGCTTTGTCAACTGGATAAATAGCAACACGTCGGCCTATACAAATGGTTGTTGCGTTCGGATTCAACCCTCTTAAAAATGACGGCCATTATCTGGCAGACAGATCGTGAGCAATCTGACTAATGTAAAGCGCTGGCCTTCTCATATACATCCACCATGTGAATTTATTCCGAGAATATATTTATAAGATGGTGATTTATTTTTACATTAGTGCCCCGCTTCCGCGCCTGTCATATCACAGACGCGCTTACATTCATCAAAACGAGGATTGATTGCGCATTATAAAACAATACGAGAACCTTCGGATTCTTGCTTCGAGTTGCAGCGGTTCTATACCATGGCTCCGACGCTTGCCTACCATCATTATTCAAACTTTCTTTCTATTATGCGGCTTTCAGTTCGGCACAACGCCTTCACAATGTTCTACAATCTAAATAGATAAATGGCCAAATCTAACTACTGTACTAGAACACAAATTTTCTCGGAAAATATTCAATAACTGTCGAAGAGAGATTTGCATGTGTTTCTTCCCATTTTAAATAGAAAACAAGCCAATCTTCTGCTGTATGTCGTGTCAAGAGAAACCAAAGTCGGAACCAAATTACGTGAGCCAGATAGATATTAAATAGATAGATAAAAAAAGTGTAAAGGACAAAATTGTAGAGAATCAAATCTGCTTTAAAAAGTCCGCGACACCAAATCTCCATCTTTAATGGTTTGGGTTTAAATAGTTTCTTAGACACGCCACATACAAGCGAAATATTTTCGTCACTAAAGATAGAGTTCTAGTGTCGTGGACTTTTTTACTACAAATTTAATTTTCTACAACTTTACACTTTTCAAAAAAAGTTAAAAAAAAACATGAGGCAAAGCAAACATTTCTGTTCTGTTTATTATTTTATATTACGATTGTCAGCAAAATTTTCATTATTTCATTTCTTACTGTCAAGTATCAATTTAATATTCTATCTGCCTGTAACTTTTTTGTTAGTGTTGTCATCATCTTCATTTAAATAAAACATTATTTTTTTCGTTTGTCTCAAATTCGCGCTAGTGACACTCATTGAATAGCAGCAATGCATTGATATGTTTTTTTTTTTAAGTGAACATGCTAAGTTCAAAAAAATGCTTCTGTAGGTATATTGCAATGCAATATCAATTTATTTGTGCCTTAAAATGTGTAAAAACGATTTTCTCTTTTAAAAATAAGTTCTTTTCTTATCGACTTTTATTGATTTGAATACCAGTTAAAAAGTAAGAATCCACTAAGTTATTGAAATATTCAAATTTATTTAAAACGTAATTTTCGTCTTATGATAACTTTAGGTTTGGGACTCATGGATCTTATTGAAAAAGTGTACCAGTCCAACCGAATGAAGCAAAAAAAAAGCATAAAAGGTCAACAAACCATTTAGAGCATTTATCTGATTTTGTTTTTTTTCTGAATCCGTTCCACTTAGTTTTGAGAAAACATTAAAGAATGAATGCTTTCAATGATTTCTGGTAAAAGGTCTTGCTTATTTATTATTGGCAAAAGTGTATTGAAATCAATTATTTCGATCAATAAAACTGATTTAACGCAAATGTTTAATTAAAAATTTGATTTAAAAAACGGGACTTCAAATGTAACAATAATAAATATCCTTGAAGCACTTGCTTTGCGACTTGGGCTTAGCATCAGTGAATGAAATAAAATCGGAGTAAAATCAAACCGATGTGTTTGGTGTTCTCTTTGCAAATCCATACTTATGCACAAAGTCCAAAAACACACAGAGAGAGACGAATGTGTTCTTCTTTTTGATTTGTGTGTGGTCCTCGGACCGGCTTCCTTTAGTAAACACCCCGGACTTTTTATGTTCCCGTGTCGTTAGAATGCAATGAAAAATGGTGTCGAATTCCGGAGTGAGGTTGTTTATTGGTTGGCTAAGAGCGTCGCTATCTGCACTCAGCAATGGTATGATTTACTACCCGATATAGACGCCACGCAGCGGTGTACCGGATAACAGAGACGATTTATGGATCCGTTGCTAAAATAAACCCGATTTTAATTATCGCGACCATTAAATGTAAATAAAAACACAACACGAGATAGCCGGCCATGGGCCTTCATTAACGCCCGGAATGCAGCAAATTCCGGATTGTTTTACTTAAATTAACTGGCCACATGCCGACAGGGAAATTTCCGGTACATCGGATTCAATAATCAGTGATACATTTTTGCGGAGATTACGCAATATTTGCTAGCTTTGGTCTAAGCTGGAAGAAAGTTAGTTGCTTTGTAAAATTGTGCACATCTGAATTTAATGAACTAATTGTGATTTTACAGAAGGAACTGCCGGGGTTGAAGTTACTTGCAATTACGGGCGACGGTTTGAATAAGACTTGCACGAGATAGGCTTCATTTGTTTAGAACAGAAACTAAAAATGTGCACTTTATTCTTTTGACAACTTTAACTGGAATAAGAGAAACGTACAAGCAATTTTTTCTCTACACCAGAGAACACAAAGACCTTTGAATTATTTCAGGTCTAGACTTAAGAACATGAAAACAATCTTTTACTTGTATTTCAATTATTACAAAGTTTTTTAAATTGATGAAAACTGTTTAGGTACAAAAACCACTACTAATACTACAGTTAGTTGACATGTTATGAAAAATCGAAAATTTGCTAGTTGTTCACAGTATGGTTTTTTAGAACTTTATTAATTATTTACAGGTTGCCACGGTGTTGTCACAAATAAAAATAAATAAAGATTTTGACATTTTCTCTTAACGCGTTTTTAATTATGAATCTGTGGAACTTTTTATTGTTACTATTTTCAAGAAATCTTCTGCAATGGGCCTCTGCAAACGAAGAAGAAATATACAAATCTGTTGTTCTAATTGCAGACCAAAAAATTGGTGATCCAGTTCAACAATTTATAGGTACAGGAAATATATTAAATGAACGATGGGTTCTCGCATTAAGCCGAATCATCAAACCTAAGGCAGAGTTAGTGGTAATTCCAGGTCATGAAGTATTTATTGATATCAGCAAAAACAAAAACAAGTACCGTGTAATAAATATACTGAAGCAAGAAGGTAAGATTCCAATATTTCCATATACCTTCAATTACTGTATAGACATAATTTTCAGACTGGTCAAAATCTGAACATGCTTTCACCTTACTACAAACTGCCCCTGATATAAAATTTGATAACTTTACGACTGTCAAAAACATGTTTTATAGTTTCAATGCAAAAGGTAAACTTAATTCGAATTGTGAACTGGTAACTTGGCACTTAGATCTAAAAAAAAGGAAATGGACTAAAATACGAATTTCTGTTCATCTTAAAGTCTCCTCGACCATTTGCAAAGCTAACACTGCCTATGAATCTTGTGTTAGTGTTTTGAATACAAATTATTTGTTAAGGCCGTGTGTCCATAAAGTTGTCCTAGGAGCTCCTTTAGTATGTGATGTATCAGTTAAAGGAATCTATTTTGGCGAAGATGCAATTCAGTGCAGTAAATCTTTAGCTATATCTGTTAATAAAGTGTACCTTTTCGAACAAGATCCCAGCATGCTACACTTTTTGTATGGGCAAGCACTCCGTAAAAAACTAAAAAGAAAGATAAACGCTCCAGAAGAGCCGACTCAGGTTAAGTTTGAGATTTCAAGCTCAAGTAAAACCAGTACATCACCTGAAGGAACCACCATGCAAAGTTCACAATCTCATTCAGTTACTCAATTGGCAGAAGAACAGGCTTCAGCTTCATCACAAAATAGTGCACAACCTCAAAATAATAACTCATCTACTCAAAATCAGTCTAAACCACCAACTGAAGTAAATCAAGTACAGCCTTTAGATAGTCGGGCAAACAAACCGTTTGTAGCCATCACTCAGGCAAATCAAGAGAAGCCTTTAAACTCGTCTCAAGGTGGCAATGGCAAGGCAAACGAACCGCTTACAAACGCCACTCAACCAAAACAAGACAAGCCTTTAGACTCGTCTCAAGGGGCCAATGGAAAGGTGGATCAGGCAAACGAATCGCCTAAAGGCGACACTGAGGTAAATCAAAACAAGCCTGTAGAGTCTCAAGGTGGTGGTGGAAAGAGTGTTCAGGACGACACAGATCAGCAAAAAGCGTATAAAAAATTGCTTTCTGTTATAAAGTCCGGTACTTTCGAAGAAGGTGATGCATACATTTCCGAATATTTGATAGATTCTTCGCACTATGAACTTGAAAATATGAATATGAATCCAAGTGATCGAGAAGAAGATTCGGAGTATCTTAAAAATATGATCTTTAGAAAGAGAGAACAATGTTCGGGTGGAAATTATTGGAAAATTCAATACTGCTTCCTTTTGATTTATCATTTATTGTTAACATTATTTATTTAATAAAGTATTAATACATTCCAAACTGTGAATCACATCTTAAGTTCTATTTTGTCAACATTCTAATGATTTTATGAGCTTCAAGCTCGTAGAAATTTATGAACGCAAATGTATAAAAGCTTCCTTCTGGTACAACGAAACATTCGTCGTGACAAAGGGAGGGTTGGTTATAACAGTGCGTGGGCCATCGCAGAAGTCCAATTACTCCAAATTCGCAAAAAACTGGTAATCCACTGTCGAAGGTACATATTTTCATTTTTCGGTCCGTTTTAGTAGTGGCATACAAAACTTGGTTTTTTGCTTTTCCCCATATTTTTACTAAATTGCTGGTCACTTCATGCGACTCCATCAACTGGTAATTGTAAACCTCGTTTTCTCTCAGCGTGAATGTTACGTGACACTCTTTAAATGTTTGCCGTGGTAGAATGTGTATTCGACTGATTTGCGACCCAAGAAAATTTATATCTCGTTCTGTTTGTGCCACTGCTAAGTTTGATGTCGGTGTGAAAGCAATATGTAGTAACGCGTAATTGTATTGAGGATTAGATACATTTGTTTCAATTCCTAGGTTTGAGCAACCCAAATATGCGAATAAGTTTTTGCTAGGGTAGATATCTAGGGGATTCTTTACAGTTAGAATATGTCTTTTGGTAAGTACCACTCCATGTGCTATAGCCACAGGTTGCTTTTGTTCTTTTTTTATGAAGCAGGCAATGGGACTAGGTCGACTTTTGGAAATAGAAAGGAGTACAACTAGTAGGAAAGCTAAAAGTGTCACCAGTCGACACATTTGAGCTTTAATAGCTGAAAATAATACGTTTGTGTAGTGTGTAGTGTTAAATATTAAAATTATTTAATATTTTACCGGCGAATAACGAAATTTCTGATGCAGCAATGGAAGTAATCTGATTTTATCAATATGATATTAAGATTAACGACACAGACAGATAACAATATCAAAATTTCATTGCCAACTAAACAAGAGAAGGTTTCTTAAGATGTTTTATGCTGAGAAATTTAAAAAAGGCTAAAATTCTTGATGATTTTGTACAGTTGTCCGAGTAGTAATTTCAGTTCTGGTGCAAAACCGCACGCAATAACCCGTTTAACGTTTATGTTGTTTATGCATTAGTCGTATGTGACAGTGTGAAAGGGTTTTGATAGTGAAAAGTGGGGGTGTGTATGGCGTGTCCTGGTCCAACGTGACAATGACAAGTTGGCCGTATATCCCTTTGGACCACTTGAACAAATACGCTTAAACTGACGCAACCGCCACCGATTGTTATTTATACTTATTTACGTTGGACGCACACTTGGGACTGATTGATTATTGTTTAAACGGGACGACGCGATCGTTATGAAATCATTCGACGCTAATTCCACTTGCGAGGCTTCATAAAACACACGTTATTACAGGTGCAATTAAACCAAACGGATTTGACATTAAGTGCACCCTTAAATAACTTATTTGATATCAAACACACGCGGGGGATATTGACGTGTCGAGTGATTTTTACACTAGCAACTTTAGAAACCAAACAAATAATGTTTTCTTCAACCAAAAATGCCAAATAGCCTTACGTTGGTAAAGTTTTTACAGCGTTAAATTTGTCTATCTATTCTAGAGCATTAAAAACACCAAAATAGACACAAGAAAATTGAGTTTTTGATGTTTCAAAGCTGAAATCACTAGTGGACTTTACAATAATAAAACATTGCTCAAAAAGACAGTCTCATTCTGCTTATTATTGCCAATGTCTCTTTTTACGATATTAAATAAGTTCAATTTATCAAAGGATTGAAAAATTTCAAAGTCGAACCCACGAATTAGGATGTATTTATTAAAATTTATTAAAAAAACTTCAAATTTTTTTTTCTACGACCCTAACAGGAAGAAAGTTTCTCCACCATAATTTCCGAACGAAAAGTGGCGAGTTACCTCCCAGTCTCGGGCAGTAACTTCTAACTGTGGGAGGAAATGCTATACTTTCCTCTCTTATAATACAAATAACTATTTTCTACGACCATATACGAAACTACAGTGCGATCAAAAACTCTGTCTAACAAGCAAGCGTAGAAGAAATTGAAAACGTATGTCTGTGCAAAATAAAATGTCACAGTGACAAATGAGAAATGTCAAAATGTTTGTTATGTAAATTATGACAGGAAACCGTGGTGAACGATTTTTATGAATAAACACCAACAAAATCTTATTTTAGTTTGTTTTGAGACGTTTCATAGATCAATTCAATTTAATTAGCTCAATGTTTTAGTTTTTATAAAATAATTTTTTGACATCTAGATAACATACGAACTGCCATGCAACATACGTCCTCAACTAGGACGCCTACTTGATCGAAAGACTTTTTGATCGCACTGTAGATCATAACGTACAATTACATATGCGCGATAATTGGCAATATCGTACGAGGTCGAAAACCTGTGCGATTTGTTTTCGCACTGTGTGTTAGAAAATTAACGCACAATTCACACTCGAATGTTTTGTATTTTTTCATTTAACGTATTTTTTTTTGTATCCATTATAAAAAATAAATCGTTATTCAATGTATTTTTGTATCCATTATAAAAGTAAATCGTTATGAAAAAAAATATGTTCGTAAGAAAAAAATTATTTATGGTTGTAGGAAAAATAGTGTACAAAACTTGCAGGAAAGTGCAAAGTATTGCCTGCACTCGGCTAACGCCCCGTGCGCAACTTTCCCGCTTGTGCGTTATTTATCACTTTCCCTGCTCGTTATGTAATATACTATTACAATAGTTTATAATGGTGTAAATAGTGCAGCATTTTTTGGAAAAGAAATTGTTTAATCAAGAAACACTTGGTTCCATACTTTTTGTTCACTCTGTATGTAGTGTGTAGTTGGCTTTCTTTGTGATAGGATTGTATTAAAGCTCTATAAATAATGTGTTGGCCCTGCGAGACGCAATGACGCTAAAATTTTAATATCTGATGTTAGATGAAAGAAGGAAAAATGTAAAAAGACGACGACTTGATGAGGAATATTTACAAAAGACGCTTTTAGTATAGCCTCGTTAACATATACATAATGTAAGTCATTATTATGTAAATAAATGCACAATCTTAATGTCAATAATAGAATTCATTCAATTTGCATTTGAATGAGAGTCGTATGTTACTTTTGAGACATCCAGTCTATGATATGTGAATCTCTACAGTATATAATGTTTACATTTTATTCCTTTTACAAAGCGTTGCGACGAAAATTGAAACACTTATTAAAATAGAAAACCAAAGGCCACATTTTATCGTTGTAGCGTGTCCCAAATTACACCACACCCCACATTTGAGATTTTCGTTAAATCAAGCTCGATTTTTGCAATTTGTACGTCTCTGATATTGATCGGCTGTGTCATTAGATATTTTTATTTCCAGACGACATAAAATTGCCTTAAATTTATAGATACATAAATATTTATGGTTGCAGTCAAACGTGCTACGGCGCTACATGAATATTTTGACACTAATAATTCGAAAATATTTTTGTGCAGTGCAAATTTGATTAGTTATTGATGATCTCGTCAAAACCACAAATAAATAACTCGCATGAGTGCTTGGTGATACCATCAATTCGTTACGGAAACACACATGCTAGGAGAATTTCTACAATGCATGATGAGTCGGTTAATATAATTCGGTTAATTGTCTGAACTAAACTTCCACTAATGACACGTACACTGTTTAGTGGATTTTTGTGTTGCAAAAATAACATTATTCAATTCTCAAACTGTGGTACAGAAAAACGAGTGATTTAATCAGAGATTATGGAAGTGATGCATTAGTTTTACCAGCGGGATTTTTTGGGCGAAGGGTTGGAGGGATAGAGAAGACAGAATGATAAATGCAACACGTAAACATTACTCACAATTGAAATAGTAGGGCCGTAATTTTGATCTAAATCTAACTTTCGTCCCAACAGATTAAATATAAATTTAATCAACTGGTTATAAATTATTTAACAACATAGAATAAGAAAATTAAAAAAGTAGTGACAACTTGAAAGATAGTTGAATTTGAATATACAACAATATGACTTTTTGTTTGTGCTAATGTGGATGTGTAATTATAATTGCCAAATTTTTAATTTTAATCACTTCTTCCATAAACCTGCTATGAATAATTAAGAACTAAAAACCGCCAACAAAATGCAACTCCGGTTGCACCTTCCTTCACAAAAGCTTCTTTGTCCCGACAATCCGATTACCGGTTGGTCGTTGCCACCTCCGCTTCGAAAATGCGACCCGAAGAATCAATTTGCTTGTCCTATCCTCCTCTAAACGATTCACACTCTCACTTACAATAATATTAGACCAACTTGTGTAATTATACATTTCCCCATTTCCCCCTTTGCCCTTCGTCAACTTGTTGAGATGATGCGAGCTTGAAGTGTAACCTTGTAAGTGATCCAGTTACAAAGTTTCCATTAATTTACATTATTGAATTTGCGCTCTGTGCACATATCCACATATGCAATTCAACCACTTCAAGCGGATTGATGCTTCGTGTTGCCTATGATTTCGAAATGGGGTATTATTAAACAATCCGTAACAATCTAGCCAGGCGGATATGATGTGCTACGGTTTGGATTGCTAGTGGTATTTCTCAGCGTTTTATTCGCATATGAATGAAAACGATGACACTAGTCGGAACATAAAAGCGAGCTCTCAAATTACTGCACTGTTTCAAAATGTTTGCCAGATTTAGCCTTTATACACAAAAATTGGCTTTTGATTTAATCTTGTTTTGTGCACTTAAGAGTATGTGTAATAAAAGTGCTTACTTTTTATAAAGCTACATAAAACTTGTAGTAAGAGGAATGGTTTACAATAATGTATTTTATAAAACTAACTAAACTACTTTAGTCGCCTTAATGTCAGTGCACGAGATACGAAACTTGTGATGAAGGTAAACAACAGTTACAAAGTTAATGACTGTTGGTATAAAAGAAGCTTAATCTTCAAGTGTTATAACATATATAAACAACGTCGTAATACATAATTGCAAAAATTGAAAATTTCATATTTTACAAACTTGTTTAAAAGTTCGTATCATTGAAAAAATTGAAGTTATATTTACTATCCCGGCGCATCCACCATAAATGTAAACATTTAAATTAATTAAAAGACATAAAATACCACAATTGGGCTTCGTGTTTGCACAAAAAATATTAAATAAACTTGTCAATGCGTTGCAAAGTGTTGCATAAAAGCAAAAATAATTAAAAATAAAAAATAATTTTTCTCATGAGCTTTTTCTGGTGTGAGTAGGTAATATGCAACAAAATAAATTTGTAATGTAAATAACTATATACAGGGTAGTTATGGCGTGACTGACACAAAGAAATTAACAAGACAGGAAACACAATTTTTAAGGTTATTTGTCTTTCCATCGTTGGAAAACACTTTAGTGATTCAAGCCTTTTTGAAACTTTTCTATTTAGGAAACATTGTCTTTACAAAGACTCAACGGCAGAAGCATATTTCCCAAATTCGCCATAAATGAGAATTAGATCTGTTTTCTCATGGTTCGAATGTATTTTGACTTTTTGCTAAATTTAATGTCAGTTCTGACCACGATCGTAAAATAGACAGGTCTTGAAACTCCATTCATAAATACGTTTGAAAATTGAATTATTTTTTCTGAATCGCAGGTGGTTATGGAGGGCAACTATACCCGTGGCGCCTTCACGTGGTGATTTTATTAATTCACTGTTTGACAGCATTTTGGCAGCTAACCACAAATTTAAAAAGCAAATTTTTCTCTATTTCCAACTTTTCTAAATATTTTAGCTGCTTGTGCACAGTTTTTCGGTGTTTTAGGATGGTTTTCTTTGATTTATACTTCATGTTTTCTTGGTTAATATCTTGTTTTCTTTCGTTCTGTTTAACTTGATTTCTTATCTAAATTAAATATTAAAAAAATTTTTTGGTTTTGAGTTTGTCGTTCAATGTTTTTGGCAATCAAAAAGGTAAATATATTTGGTTTTTATATCTTGTTTACACAAAAACACTTCTGCAGATGCCCAGAATTTGTGCTGTTTTCCATTGAACGACTAAATGAAGTAGTAAACAATTGTGTTTTTTTTTTGGGTGAAAGAAAAATTGGACCTAAGGGCAAGGAATGAAACTCTAAATACTGTACTGCAAAGAAAAGACAGAAGCTGTTAATTACATTTTGAGAAAAAAGATACAAAATTAGAGAGAAATCATTAAAACATTTTACATTGAAGCATTTAATCGACTAGGGTTTTGAGTTTTGACATATTTGTAGTCTAAAAAGTAATATTTTGGCTTAAAGTCCTATAGATAAATGAGTCCACAAATGAATCAAGTTTTTAAAAAAATATTTATTTCTTTACTCTGTTTACAAAGTGCCCGCTCACCACAAAAATAGATCCTGAAATTGTCTTTATTGTYACTGTGGTTTTCTTTATTATTCAAAAAATRTTGCTGRACACGAAGTSGGTCCCGACCATCGTGTTTCTGACCAAGTAAAAAACACCATTTTTATAAATCTTGGAAGATTGTCTTTACAAAATCCTTCTACATTGTACATTTTGCACCAACCTTGATCGCTACATTATTAGTTAGAATTGGATAACTAAAAAATAACTTATGTATAAAAGTTACTTACTAAGTTAAAAGATGTTTCCTATCATCAAGTGTAAAACCAAACCAAAAACCTCCTCGAGGACTAAATGAATGAAGCGGCAGTTAGCTGCCACTTTTATTAAACATATTGTACTTTATATGTGGCGCTTATTAAGTTGTTTCTTGCACATTTTTTAACAATTTTGACAAGCCCACAGTAACCTAACAAATTATGACAAGCGCTAATTTAATATTTGACATTATTTATGCACGGAGACGTCATTTTTCGTTCATAAATACGCAGTAATTAACGTAGTATCCGATAGAGGCACCACGGGTATAGTTGCCCTCAAAACCTACTGAGATCCAAATTTTTTAATTCAATTTTGAAACACGAGTTTCCAGACCTGTCTATTTTACGATCGTGGTTCTGACAAATAAAATTATTGGAAGCAAAGCTATAGTGGATTCATAATCGATTTTTCAAAAAATGCGAAATCTAAAATATCCACGTTAGCTTTGCAAATGTATTGTGGGTTGTATTTTCAATTCCGTCAGGCTCATTATCACTCGTGAAATACCCTGTATTTTCAAAATTATTAAGTTTAAATTTGTTCCAATTCTTTTTATTCGACCCTTGTAGTAAAATTTGAGTGTTCTTTAAAGTTACTTAAATAACATGCTTAAACACCTTGTATAACAAGCAAATATTTAAGTTTGCAACTCACGTTTTAAGATTAATTTCATCCTAAATTTATTTAAAATAGATTCCAAAAAATGTACTTTGAAAATGTTTCTGTAGTCGGTGGTGGAGAGAGTTAATTTGAGAGTTTATTATTGCTCCAAAACAGTAAAAAAGGAATAAGTAATAAAAGATTTATTGCAACATTAACAGTCTGAGAAATGACCGCTACACCTTGCAGAGTGGCGTTGGCCGTTATTAATAATTTAAACAAGCGTATCGGGCTTTGTGATTTATTATCTGTAGCAGTCTTGCGGTGTGGGTGCTATTCGCTTGGTATTGTTTACAGCACCGCAGGTTAAATGAATTGTCGTATTGTTTGTTATTAATTATGATATCGGTTTATAGAGACTCGGGTCTGTAAATGGATATCGTTTAATGCTCGGAAGTGTAGTGGTGACAGAGCATCGTTTGATAAATGAACCCGAGGGCGACTTTGATAATTGTTTCTGGGTGACGCTTGTTTGTGTCACGTGTTGACTTCTTAACGGAAGTGGAATAACTAATGGAGTTTTAATAGACGACGTAAGATCTCCACACGCACCTTAACTTGTTAGTCTTAGATATGTTTCATTACGGTAAAAGTGCCACACACCGGAGTGACACGCGAGCGGCTTCATCTAAATGCCGTGTCATAAATAATACAGTCGGGGGTTGTATATGGCGTGACTGGAATGATTGACCTCTTCTTTAATTAACCATAAATCAAGCAATATTCACTTTAGGCTCCTCGCGGAACTCACCTTTGTACATCACGTGGCTGAAAACGTTGGTGATTATCCTGAATTCCGGATTGGACCTGTCGCCGATCTGGAAAAAATAAAAAACCGTTTTTAGACAAAGCAAACATCGCACAAACACCGCAGCCTTGCCCATCTGTGGCGTGACTAAAATCACTCTTGGCTCTTTCAACTCTCGGCCACGCTACTGCATATCACATACTCCAAGCTAATTTAAAAACATAAGTGCCTTGTTGCTATTTGTTATCTCTGATAGATCGCATTCGCCCTAATTAAAAAATTCAACGCTGCAAAATGTTGCAACGATCGATGCAAGACATGAACATAGCGTTAGTGACAACTGACTATTTATGCAGCATCCTTTTACGCAATCAAGATCAAACACACCAAGCCACTTTGAAACGAAACATAAATTAATTACATATAATACATACATCAAATCAATTCAAAAGCAGCATTATAGGTGTTGTATGAGAAATAATTATTTTCAGCTTGATTTAAAACTAAAATTGGATCGGAGAAGCATAAAAAATAATAACGCATTCATTGCAAGAAATAAGGGCAAATATATATAGTAACGACAACGTCTAGCTTAACGCTATTTTACTTAATAAAAATAAAATAATAATACAAGGTGTGCCAGAACTAGCGCCCCAGAGAAAAATGCCATGCCAAGAAAAATCCCAAGGTAAGATAGCAGAAACATGGAAAAATTAATGTTAAAAAAATTCTATCTATGAAAATTTCGATGTTGTGAGAGTTTAAATTTTGCACTTTGACTCTATTTATTTCTGTTGGAAAAATAATTTTCTAAGTTTATTTGCTACAGGCTATTAGAAAAGGAAAGAAGCTGTATCTTAAATTGTAACTCTGTTTCATGTTAATTGTGGTTTTTATTGGCAAAATTTTTGTATCTATACTAAATAATTATAAAAAAACATATACAAGATCACCAATAAAACTAAATAGACATAAAAAATGTCAAATGTCAGAGAATAAATGTCAAAATTTTTTGATAGATTTAAAAAAAAATTGCAATTTATGTAAAAACTTTCTCTTTTTTAATTTAAGTATAAAGTGGATACTTGTAATCCTTAGATCATAACCTTTACGAGAAAAATGGTTTTATAGTGGGTTGTCATATAAAAAAATATTTTTTATCCGCAAACGTCACAAAAGTGACCACTTTTATGACTAAATGACACAGGTAAAAGTTTTACTTTTCAGACGTGGAGTAAAAACACTGTTTTTACGCCTAGGCGTTTTCACTTTTACTTGACACTTTGACATTTACCACTGTTGTCTCTTTCTTGTCTCTTTTGCTTTTTCAGCATTTTTTGGACAGGTACAAGGTAGATTATCAGCATTCGACATATTGCACTATAAACTACACCAGTTATTCTCCAATTAAATCAATCAACACTTTCGAAATCTCAACACAAATTCCGAAACTGACGCGTGACGTTTGTTATGATTTTATTGCAAAGCGTCCTGATTATTGAGGTGATTTATTTGATTATTGGTGTGTTGCTCTTTTCTCTCCATCTCAACAGTTTGCAGATAAAATAGTATATGTTATTTGGAGTAAAAGTGAGTTTATGTGGCTCAGCTGAATCCATTTGAATGAACGTTCAGCTTCGCCACGTAAACAATCACTTTTACTTCTAATAACATAATCTACTATTTTGTTGAACTCAAATACATAAGAAAATTTCAAAAAAATTTATTGTTCATAAAACATCACATTTGTAAGTATATTAATTTATCATTCATCAATTAGTTTTTCCATAAAATAAAAGTTTAAGCAAAAAACGTTTGATATCATACTTTTTATTCACCTGATACAAAATGTAAGTATTTTACCAAGGGCATTATGAGAATGTTATTATTTTCGAGGACGACAGGTTTACAAGTTCTCTAGTCTCTAATAACCCAAGACTTTTGTAAGTCGCCTATTGGACATAGACATCAAATAATGTTCGTGGTTTTTGATCTTTGTCTTACTTATCCAAAAATATCAAATGAGTATTGTAAACACTATCATGTAAAACAAATAGTTATAAGTGTTATAACCTATTATGCCCTAAGGCAGTATTCTCTTTATGATACACTTCGTAGGGAAGTTATTATCAATCAGTAATGAACAAATAAAGTATATAAATACATACAGTAAATACAGTGTTCTAAGAAATACGTGAAAAGTAATTTCTTACTTTGTTTTTTTTTTTTTGAATCTATCGTATTAATACTAGAGAGACTTTCTAACTCACTTGAGAGAAAACTAATAAGTTTTCATAGAATAATGTGAGCAAAACATCGAAGAAACAAGACAGTGTAGTGAATTGATACCCCATCTAGAAATAAGTTCATTATAAAATTAAAGCGAATCAAAAGTGACAATAGTTTTAAACTTGTAGGTTATTATTGGGAAGTCAGCCTTATTTCTAAAGATAGTTTAATTTGAATCGTGGTAATTACATTATTTTTGAAGGTACAAAAATAGTATATTATGTTATTAGGAGTAAAAGTGATATTTTATTTATTTTATTCCAAATAACATAAACCTTGTTATCCGCAAACGATTCAGATGGAAAGAAAAGAGCAACACAATAATTATCAACTAAATGACCAAAATAATCAGGACGCTTTGCAATGAAATCATAACAAACGTCACGCGTTAGTTTCGGAATTTGTGTAGAGATTTTGGAAAGTGTTGATTTATTTAACTAGTAAATAATCTACACTGTACATTCCTCTCCTGAAAATGCTGAAGCAGCGGAAGAGACATTGTAAATGTCATAGTAAATGTCAAGCAAAAGTGAAAAAGCTTAGGCAAAAAAAACAGTGTTTTTTACCCCGCGTGATTTTTTTTGTCTGCGGATAAACTTTTTTGGGCAAAAAATTAAGCGACAATAGTCATTCTTAATTCTTAATTCTCTATAAATGTCTTATCACTTATCAGTTAACATCTCTAAAATTTTAATACAATTAATAATTATAATGAAATTTTAGCGATGTTAACTGATAAGACATGTATGAATGTAATAAATATAATAATTATAATAATAAATAGTTTAAACTATTAAAATAGTTAATAATAATAGTTAATAGTTTAACTATTAAACTATTTATGTATATTCATACTCATTTGAACTTTTAGCGTGATTTTATTTTTTATTGTAAAAAAAATATATGAACACTTAAGAACCTAAGCTTAAGAACTTAAACCTTATAATTGTTTTTCTATTTTGTTCTACTCATATAATAAAAGTGCTACCAATAAAAATTAAATATATCACTTTTTGTGTTAATAATTAAACCAAGGTACACTTACTGTTTTGAATAACTAAAAGTTTTGTTTTCTTGCTAAAAATAGATTTTACATAATTTAATATCTTGGCAGACTCCGCCAGATACTTGCTTTGCAAATGCATTACATTTTTATGTAGTTTATCCAAGTATTATGGTTGAACGCGTTCTACCCCTTTGATGTAGTTGTTTACATCCACTGCGTTAATCTGTGAGAATAAATAACAGTGCAATTTAAAGAAAAAACTACTCGTACTTCGAAAATTCATTATTTTATTATTACTCAATGATTGAAAAATAGCCCAAATTGTTTGTTTGAAAAACTGCCGCGTTAAATTTACACAACTAACCGGAGTGGCGTTAAAAATTAAGCGTTAACCCAACAGTCGCTATGTGTTTTCCAAATTGAACGCTACACATTTGAATTGAATTAACTCTTTTATACTTGGATTTGTTATTTAATAAAGAATTAATCAACAATTAGGAAAGAAATAACTTGCGGAATGCGGTTGTAAATTTTATGTGCCCTAGTCTGGTTAGTCGTAAATGATTTATTAGTTAATGAAATTGAATATTGGCACTAAATCTCGCCGTTTCCACAATAATGTAAACACCAGCCCTAGTTTTGAAGTCTTTGTGTGTGAATAATTTTCCTTGACCGTTTATTTTGCGATGAGAGCGGTGACATATTTATAGTACCATTTGCGCCGTGATGATGGGACATTTGCTGGAACTTTTATCACCGGTGCAGCTTTTGAGAATGTGAAAAACGCACGCCGGTCGATGCATTCCAGTTTGTCGGTATGAAAAGTGCAATGCGCAGCGTTTTGCATACCAACAAGGGTCAGAGCAGTGGTCATATCGCCCCACTTGAAATATACCCCAGCGATATCTTCCGCATGACCGGCGGACGTTGTAAAACCCATCCAGAAGCTCCGAATGAGCTGTACTACATTCACAATATGCTAATCTACTCCGACATTACTTCCCGTTCTCTTAACCGTGTCCGTCCGTTAAAATTGTTAATTCTCTTTTAATACCGGACCATTCACTGGAAAGGATTAAATATACATGAGACCTCAAAGAATTCGAGACGGTACGGCCGCCTAATCTCAATGAACGTCTTGTTTGTATTTAAACGAGACCCTATTTTTACTGACGGCACAGTTATTGACGTGCTAAATGATAATAACCGCCGCTTGCATAATGTGACGGAATTTCAACCGCAACACTTGATATTAAATGAAAGGAATTTCGAATTGGGGCCGACTCGACCATAAATACGAAGAACAACCAAATAACAGGGACACTAATTGGAAAAAGGTAACGTTTGAATTGTTTCACTATGTCACAGGATGGCTCGTCATATTTTAAAATACCGGAGCCTGCAGCAAAGAATTTCGCAATAGGATATGGATTGCTTTATAAATATTTATAGCTCATTTTAGTGGGACAGTCCGATGTAACAAAAATAAAAACTGTAAATTTTAGAAGCCGGCAGGAGGCTCTCATATGGATACGTCTTCACCGACGGTGTTTTATACAGGTGTTCCGTCTAAACCCCACATTAGAAGTATTGAGAGTTGGAATAATCGTATTTATTTGAAAATTGGTACATATCCATAATGCATTAAGTCCTCCTAAATGAAAATATTTTCAAGATGGCGGCACTGTCGGTTATACCGGAATTCGGTCTCAACTTTCTTATTTTAAATGAAAAGGTTGATTTTTTACTGCGGTTTTGGATTAATCGGGTTATTTTAAGGGAGTTTTTATCAGATTTCCCTATACCTAAATTTATCCGTTTTTTAAATATTTGGAGTTTTTCAAAAAAATTTGGATCTGTACCTTCCACTTTAAAAATCGGTAACTCTACCATTTTTTAAGATTTTGAATTCGTTTTTTTGGCGTTTGAAAGAGAAAGCTTAGATCATTTTTATGGTGTTTTCAAATTTTGAAAAAAAATAACATATCACAAAATTTGAAGGTTACTTTTGTAATAATTCAAATACTCATAACTCAATTTTTTCAAATGTAATACCCTAATTTTTATTTTACTAGATAGAAGAGAATTTAATTGTGCATTGATCTGTATTAACATTCCCTATACCTAAATTTAATAGTTTTCAAGTTATGGACTTTTTTTAAGACTACAGAACTATGGAAATCAAAAATGTCAAAATTTTCTCTAAACAAACGTCAACAGTAAATTACTATTTGACAAATAGTGCCAAAATATGGAGAATCAAAGTTATGCAAACTTAATTATTATTGATAGGTTCTACCATGCAATCATTATTTAAAGCTAACAAGTGAGAAAAATTTATTTTTGTTTAATGAACAACATCATAATTTTGTTACACTCTCCATAAATACAAAATAAATTAATTAAATCTAAGTTTGAGTAGCTTTGATTCTCCATATTTTGTCACTATTTGTCAAATAATAAGTCACTGTCGACGTTTATTGAGAAACAGTTTTGACATTTTTGATTTCCATAGCAACCTACACGAAAACGGATATGGCTAGTAATAGATTTTCGGCAGTCTTAACAAAAAGTCACCATAACTTAAAAATTATTAAATTTTGGTATAGGGAATGTTAATACAGATCGATGCAGAATTAAATTCTCTTCCATTTAGTAAAATAAAAATTGGGGTATTTCATTTGGAAAAATTGAGTTATGGGTATTTGAATTATTACAAAAGTAACCTTAAAATTTTATGTTTTTTTTTAATTTGTAAACACAGAAAGATCTAAACTTTCTCTTTCAAACGCAAAAAAAACGAATTCAAAATTTTAAAAAATAGCAGTGTTACCGATTTTTAAAGTGGAAGGTGCAGATCCAAAAATTTTTGAAAAACTCCAAATATTTCAAAAACGGCTAAATTTAGGTATAGGAAAAGCTGATGAAAGCTCTTTTAAAATAACCCGATTAATCCAAAAACGCAGTAAAAAATATAGCTTTCCATTTAAAATTAGAAAGTTGAGACCGACCTTCAGTATAACCGGAAGTGCCGCCAACTTGAAAATATTTTCATTTATGAGAACTTAATGGTTTATGGCTATGTACCAATTTTCAAATAAATACGATTTTTCGAACTCCCAATACTTCTAATGTGGGGTTTAGACGGAACATCCCTGTATATACAAACCAACTTTTAATATTTTAAGTAGAAATAGTCTAATACAAAGCTTATCTCTGCTGGCAAACAACTCTATTCTTTATTTTGAGACGTTTGAAAAATATTCACTATTACACTAATTGCCTCCAAAAGAAACAAGAAATTTTTTCCAATAATGTTTGTCTTTGTAGATTTCCCAACTGATAAAAACTGTCATCACTCTCAGAAACGCGATCAAACACCAGTAATAAATCACTTTGTAAGTGGGAATTATAATTGTTAGTTTTGCTCTTTATCAACCAAAGATCAAAGACTGCTTCCTCTTTTTGCGAATCACGCGAGAAACCATGAATTTCGTAGAAAATATCTTTTATAATACAGACATTTCGATATGAATCACTTTTTCCCGACAATTTTTTGTTTGTTTTGAAGGATCTCTTTTTATTAAAGCTAGTCTGAAATAATGAAAGCATATACATGTTTTCAACAAGATTTCAAATTATTTTGACTTGATTGTAAAAGCATTTTTTTCCAAAAAATTAGAGTATTTACCTGCACCATTAACGATATGCCCACAATGCCCTGAGACTTGTGTTGTGCTTCGGACATATTGTGATAGAGTTGCTTATTGAACCCATAGAGTTGGATCTGAAAAATATAAATAGAATAAACATTTAGAAAGTGGTAAGGCTTTTCATGTAATTGGCTTGAAAGCATCGTAATAAAATATTGTGAAGCGATCTTTTCTTAATATTTATGAGCAGTTGTTTGAATGTCTAGGGGTTGTGTATTCGAATAGAATATGTATACTATCGTACTCGAATATAAAAGAAAAAACTAAATCGATGGGAATAAAGTAATAACACAGAATAGATACATATCCCAGTCCATCACGCTGACTTTTCAAGAAATTCAATAAGTCGTATTCGAATCCGGATGACTCGGGAAGATGGATGTATGCTTAGGGCACGTATAAGATTTTTCCGTTCAATACAGAACAGTTGGGTTCCGGAAAAGGCGATAATTTTCTCTTAAATTCGTCGCTAGCTGTGTTTTATTATTCTCCCGTGCCAAAGTTGAGATGCTCATTTTCATAATAAAAGTAATCCGTATACATGGCGAAAGTCATAAAAGAGTTTTAAGCATGTGGATCGCTATAATTAAGTGAAATACAGAGAGTTTGACCCCGTACATCTTCTTTAACACGCAGAGTTACGATGTGCTTTGGAACATAAATACTACAAAGCTTGCTTTAGAACAACTCGCTAATATCTTCACTAACTGCCCTGATCTGAAGTTCCTATTGATAAATTTGAATTTTTAAGGCCCGTTACTTAGATATTTTATTAACAACAATAACAATCATTACCCGACGTAATGTAAGCTCCGCCAGGAAGCATTGTTGCAACCCTATTCAAGTTTGCTAATGGGAAATTCTAGTCTCGAATCTTTTCTTTTGTGGCCCCCTTTTCAAAGAACATCCGATTCACTGTTTACAAAAAATAGACAATTCACTTCGTTAAATAAGTACGCCCAACGCAAATAAACAATCTTAAATTCCTCAATATGGATGCATCTAAAATTATTAGGCCTGGAAAACTTTGCATTCCAACAAAATTTGATTTATTCCAACTACCCTTACCTCTAAAGTTTCCCTAATTTCTCGATAACAATATTACAGACAAGATGTTGGAAATAGGGTTCAGTCTTTGAGACTCTCTCCAACAAGAGGATATATTACGGCGCAAACAAATCAAGTACTTCTCCAATATATCGGGAAATTGTCGTTGCGTTACAGCGTAAAACAACAGTTAATTATGATGTTAGAACTACGTAAAATCGTAAGAGGATAGATGCTTCAAAGTGAACAGAATAATAATAAAAAAAACGAATCTGAATTTCTGAATATATACAATGGGTATTTTTTCAAAGTCTGATCCGCTTGTAAATCTTAACAAATGGCAGTAACCAAAAATATTATACATAAAGGTAGTGATAATTTTAGAATGTATTTTCACATGGTAAGCTATGGAGTTATTTATTGATTTATTGTAGTACATTACAAATTTCTTTAACGCCATATTAAGTCTGTTTGTATATTTAGGTTGTAATTTAGCTTAGTTTATTAAATAGCAATTATAGGAAACAAGCTAAATTATCTGCTAGTGACCGGTGACTTGTTAACCAAATTAAATTACAAATTTCTGCTAAACACAGTCAGGTTTAGTTGTCTGTTGATTGACTTGAAACATTTTGTTTATAATTTATTAACTTTTGAAGGCTCAAAAATTGCTATGATGTAGCGTAACCTGTTGCGAGGTGGGAGTTTTGCTCTTCTTTGTTGCAGTATTGCAAGAGCAAAACAAATCAAAAAAATAAACGTATTTCTAATAATTGTAGAGCGTAACATAACGTTTTCCTTTCACACGAGTTGGCGAAAGAAAACAGCTCGGCTTTCTCTAACGAGCTGTTTGTCGCAACTTTGAAAACTGCTCAATTATCTTGGAATTTTTTAACAACGTTGCAGAACATTATCACATTGTTTTGTCTTGTCAATTGAGCGTCGTTGCATCGATCGTTCCAATTTGGGCACAGGAAGACGTATTTGTGAAATTGGTTGCTTTGTATGCGATTATGCGCCTGAGGACGTCCTAATAACAGAAAGTAATGCTCGGTAAAGCAAAATTTTAAATCTATCTAACTTTTGAAACTGTATTAGCAAGAAGAAGTCTTGATATAAAATCGAAACGTTATTTCTTCAGCGTGCTCGGAATGTTAAGCAAGACATCAGAGTTTCTAGACAGTTTGATGTAGTGTTTCGGCCAGGTGAAATGTTCTAGTAACGCGTACGAGGAGAATTTATATTTTTCAAGGAGCCGTTTGACGTCGGAATTATACTATACCTACGCATCTATCCATCCAACAGCAAACCACTTTGAAAATTTCAATTCCAATATAAATCTTTCTCGCTCATACCATTCTATTCTACTCGAATCCACTATCAAAAGGTAATCAGTGTTTGTTGTTGATACCTGCGCGAATTAGTGTCAACAGAGAACATATTTCGCAACTGAACTTGACAATACTTTCTTTGGACATTTAGATCAGATAAAGAGAAAAGAAAATTGATGATTGGGCGTAAATATTTGAACCAAATGAATGAAAGAATTCGATATAATACGAAAAGCTGAATTCACTTCACAATGATTGATATTGACAGCTAAATGCGCGTTCTTAAACACCGTTTAAGTTTGAATGTTTTATAAATAGTATTTTTTGATTCCATGGCACAATAAGCAATAATTCTTTGTAGTACCATATTTTAAGGGCAAAAACTCATAAAACCACAATTTTTTTGATAGAGTTTGTTACATTTTATTCGGTTTAATGTGACCACACAAAAGTAATGGCAAAACGTTTTTAGCAGAGAACATATCGATCAATATTTGTGAAACGTCAAAACAATTTTAAAATTATTCATTCAATAATTTAACGTTTCCAATGTACATCCATTTTCAGCAAAATGCAGCTTTATTTTTTATTTACATTTAACAATTTTTTGTCTTTTCGATTTGTTGACGCAAAAGCGATTGAATATCAAACGCCGGAGACGCAGTTCTTGATGTGTTTTGTCTTTTTACAAATTTGTTTTTAAAATACCATTTTTTGATAAAATCATATGCCTGTTATTTTGATATTGTAGGTATGATATGCGTTACTTTTATTTCAGATAAAGGCTGTTTTGTAAACAAAATATGAATTTTTGATGAGTAAACACCAAAAAAATGTTCTGTGTGTCTGTCGTTTACAATATCTTTGCATAAATAATGACACTTAAGAAGTAGAAGAGAGTGAATAATTTGTAGAAATTAATATAGTTGAAAGCCACCGATTTTTGATGACTAAGATCATTAGCACCAACAAAATTCTTTAGCTTCTAGACTAATACTCTTCATTCAAAAGTTCACAACAAACTGTATCTATATCACACAAGTAAAATAACTGATTTGGTCCTATACCTATCCTTTTCTCACTTTAATCTTGTTCTTTTTTAAAAATGTTTGTTATTCAATGATTTGTCACAATGTACATATTAAATACATACTCTGTCTCGAAACGTTTTCTTTAGATTGAAACAGGTTTTGCCCTTATCAATTTAGTTGGCAATATATCATCTGTTGCATTCAAATATTTTTTTCTGCAATGCCGCACTTAAATGCTGAAAGCAAATGCAAATCAAGACATTCAATTTGTACAAGGTATCTGTAAAGTTTTTCGCACGCCATGCGGTAAAATAACACGAAAATTGTAAGAAAAAAAAGACATTATTTCATTTATCTACTCAGTATTCAGAAATGAACACAGTTTATTTTTCTTGGCAGAATTCTGATTGTAGTGAAAATAGTAAACGCATAGACCCCTCATGTTTACATTTACTGTATTAGTATAAAATAGCTGTAGTCATATCTATTGGGTATTGACAAATCGAAATATAAATAAATCGAAGTACTGTCGTTGGCCAAAAAGTTTTGTACATTAATCGCGCCTTAGGTATAGTTTTTCAGCGTTGAGTTTTATTAAAGCACTCAGCTTTGCTTCGTGCATATTAGAACTTCACACTGTAAAGTTATACCTGTGTGTTATGTAAATATAACTATTAATAAATTGCCCAGGGGGTTAAAAGACTCCTGAAAATTTTGATGAATACTTAAAATGATATGGGATCATGCATTGTCGTTAGAATCCCGGTCATTTGGTATAATTTTCACGTTTGAGTCATTCGGCGTTATTTGGTCTCGTTTGGTTTATTGGTTTTATTAGTATGGATTCAGCGTTAATCCACTTGATCGTAAAGCCCGTCAGAACACCGAGTTAAAATGTTTTTTAGCATATTACGCAAACTTGGCCGATTTATTATTTCTAACCGGTTAAGCTACAAATACATTAATTTCTAATTAAATGCCACACGCTATCGGCTAATTCGAATCCCATTATGGATGGGAATATTCCAAGGGACAAAGTTGCGTTTGTTTTATTGTAAGTGGAATCGATTAGGGTGTAATAATTTAAAGAGTGCTTACCTCCGCCGGAAACGAATATCCGTGAATGTGGTGTTCTGATCCTTTTTGATTTTCCACTCCGTAATGTATATAAATCTCTTCGAACTGGTATCTGTAGGCCAGCGGTCCTCCCGATATATTCACGTGCTGTTTGGTGTCTTTGTCGACTTTGAAGACTAGCGATTGTCCCGTGTTGTGCAGCATGCCGCTTACCTATCAAAAATTTCATTTGATTTAATTGAATCTTGTGGAAATCGAACGAAGGAGACGCTCGTCGACAAAAAGAGCTACGATAAAAGCGCCCCAGACTAGGGTCATCTATCATTCAATCAGAGGGTATGCGTAGCGGGACGCCACTAATGATCAAAACCATTATATACAGTTTAAATCACATCTTGTTTTTGCTATACGTTTACTGACATTGCTATTCAAAGCCCCAAGGAATAACAAAAAGACGACCCGAAAAAACAATCAGTCATTTAGCAAATTTACTCTTCGAGAAGCATTAGCTTACAGTCTCTGCGAATTTTTCTATTGCTCACTTTGTGTTTGTCCAAGTGGATGCGTTGCAAGTGAGGGTCGAACAGTAATTTCTCCGGCTCCACGTTGATGGGAGACTGTCTTCTTCCCTTCGAACACATATTCCACTGGGGGTTCATAAGACCCCAGTAACCCGGACCTGAAAAATCAACGTCACGTTAGGGCATATATGCGATCTGACGTACACGACGCCAAATCAAATTTTCGACAATAATGGACATAAATAATGCAGAGATCTGCTAAACTACCAGGTCAACAAATTGTTTTTCGATACCGTAGATGTCTTGTAAAATATAGCATCCGTAATAAAAGCTCTAAAGTCTCAGTAAACATCCCCTTTAATCATTAGAACTCTCCCGATTTGTTTTCATGCATTAATTGATCAATCGTGGAAACTTTTCAGGAAAGTAAACAGAAACCGATTATTATTTTGTTTTCTTTCACTGTGTCTGCAATCACGACTTTCTTAATTAGGATTGCATCTCGTGTGAATTTGATTAAATTCAACTGCAGAGCGCGAGTTTAAACTTATTAAATTATTTGGGTGTTAATTTTGCATTTTCGCTGATGACTTTATTTGATCTTCGTCAGGTTAATTATAGTTATAATACCTGTGGGAAAGTTGAATGTCAATTAAGTAAGTGGCAATCTGTTACGGTTTTTATGTAGATTGTTATCATAAAATGCAACGACGACAATAGCAGCGTTTGATAACTACGCACCTGTAGAAGCGAAGTGCATTAATATAACTAACTTTGCAAAAAGTATAACAAAGTTTGGGTCGCAATAGCCCATAAAAACTTTTCCGGAGAAAAGTTCTCAGTTTATATTTCCTAAAACAATTGTTTTTTGGAATTTCCAGTGGGTGTTTTATTAATAAGTTAATCTGCAAAAGAAACGGAATCAAATTAGTTATTCGCTTTTCAAGTAAAGTGCACTCGAAACTCCTCAGATTTAAAATACATTTCCCGTTAAAATGCTCTTTTTCTAACTCCATTTTTCATACAAAAGTCTACTCCCTTAGCTTCATCAAGTTACAATCGTGCTTTTCGGTGCGACATGAGACGAGGGAGACTTCTTATTGTCCGCAGCAAAATTCTCGTCTTATGGACAACAAAAAGTGCACTTTGTAGTAGCTTTGCAATAAAATGTCCAGTACGAAAGCGATTAATCTTACGTAATGATTATCTGCATGTGATGTGGTGCTTTTATCTTGACATTTCTCGTTCAATGTTTCACAGCAGAATGTTCAATTTAAACTCAAAATATTTTTATTTAAACTTAAAATTGAGTTTTGAAGTATGTAGAACAAAACTGCTTTCAAGTTTTTAACATCTTTATTTTTGTTGAACACCTTAAGCGAACATTAGGAATAGTAATTATATAAAATTAGAGTTAGTTCTTATTACAAGTTTATAAACTCGAAAACTTTATTACACCGGAGCTTCAAAATGAAGTATCTTAAACAAAAGTTTGCTTCGACACAATAGCAAATAATTTAAAGCGGGAGTTCTTGAACCCAGAATTATCCACATGTTGCTGTATCTAGAATGTAATTTACTATTTTTTGGACCAAAAAATGTTTTTTTTTTATTTTAATTAGAAAGGACACGAAAAGATTTTAATAATTCTGTTGAAAACTTGCAAATTTTTCGCAGGTGGAAACTTATTACCTTATCAATTATTATGTTTATAATTTAATTTAAAGTTTGCAAAGATTCCCATCATAAGTGGAGATTTTCGAGTGAATTTTAAGTCTCAGCGCGTCCTCATTCCCGACAACGAAGTATGGTGATTCTGAACCACACCTAGCGAACCGTGTAGAATTTTTATGGCGTAGCTATTTTAGAGCACGAAATAGAAGTGAACATTTCTGGAAGTAAATCGTTTTCATAATTCAACAAAACATTGCATGAATTTGCCATTAGCAAAATTAATAGAATAAAGTTATTTCAGTTTTATTTTAGCCAAAATTGAAATGGACGTAAGCATAACAAGGGTGTTGGTCCGTGTTTAAGACACGCTTTGAGCTCTTTGTTGGGGGGTAATGTAGTGCGATATTCTTGTAGGTCGCGGTAAAACAGGCCGGCGTCGTACAATTTTCAGCAAATATTTGTGAACGAGTACCTCCGAGACGTTTTATTTTTATCGGGGCAATGCAATTATTTACACGTGATTTTACTTAGGGCCGGAATCGACTGGTTATCTTGTAAATTTTCCGAGTGTATAGCGAATCGACTGTATTTTATCGAATAGGGAGTATAATACAGTTCGTTTTGATGGCATCGCTTATTGATTGAAAAAGTCTATTTCCTTTAAAAAGGGATGCTTTCTTTGAAGTCTGACTCGCAACGTAGCACTCGTTACGATGACGTTAGTTTAACACTGCACTCCGGGTTATTCTTGCTCTCTCCTGAGAACCGGAGAAACTTAACCAGATTTCGCCGGCTTCTTTCTGATCAACGCCGTTTAGTCTAATCCGCTTTTGCCAATTGGCAAACACTACAAATGAACTTAAGAGCACTTTTCCAGACGACCAGTTTGTCAAACACGGAGCTTCCTTCTTTCATTATTAAACTCCTAAAGAATAAATTCCGGGTAAAGCAACGATCGACAAATTAATATGCATTCGAGCTGTTGTGTTGCTATTCACTGGGTTTGCTTACTTTATAAAACTTGGAAATTTTAATTAATAATTCCCTAAAAATAAACGCGTCATTTGACCTGAATTCTTGAAACTAAAAGTTCTGATTTAAATAATTTTTCACTAAAACATCTTGACTCTTGAACGGAAACACAGCGTTTTTCCACATTTTGCCGAGATTTATTACCTGCATCTGCAGTGTCAACTAAGCCGTGGAGTCATCTAATAAACTGTTCCACTGTTAACTTTGACACATAAATCGTGAATTCTTGCGTTTGAAGAACCATTCAACAAAAATTCATCTTAAATAATTTAGTACTACATGACAGGCATTAAGATTTATGGCAGAAATGCTCCCTAAGTGTAAAGAAGTTTATTTTTTACACCCATTTACGTGGCTTGTGTTGAAGCTTCTGGGGCTTTAATTTAATAGTAATGTGGAAAAGTGACAAATTTTCCAAAGATCTACTTTTTAAAACGTTTAAAATTTCTCACTTCTTTTGTATGTGGTCAAAAAAGCGTCAGTAATATACTCATGAAAATGAATTCAATAAAAAATCGTTTTTTCAATTAACTTGATTTTACCCCTACAAAGAATGCGTTTTTAATAGGTTTTCCCAATATTAAAAAAATAGTATATTAAAGTACAAGTTGCAGAAGGCGGTCTAGCACAAATCCGAAATTCCGAAACGAGCCGCGTAGCGGCGAGTTGAGAAACAAATAGTGCTTGAAGAAAGTTCTGCAACAAGCGCTTTATACTATTTTTTTTTAATTTTGCCGCTTTATATCATTTTATAAATTAAAAGACGAAAATTTAAAAAAAAATTCTAGAGAATTTTGCGGTGTGAAAAATAAAAATAATAATTCTTATTTTCACATTTGAAAATGAATCGTAAACAAAGTCCGTCACTAAAATTAAATTAACGCCAACGACTTATTAAAGCACTCAAATGACGTCGTTGGGTGCCGGAATAGACTTATTCCAAAGGCAAATTAAAAAAAAATAAAATTACAAAATTTGATGTAGCGGAGAACTTTTATACGCCTAAACGAATTCAAAAATCAAATGTGAAAATTTTTATCCGGATAAACAAATATTATAAATTTTAATGCTGATTGGGATCTGTAACATTAATAAACGGTAAGTTGTATCGAAACAACTCAAAAAACCTTTTTTTGTGAGAAACTGTGGAATTTAAGAATTTGTTGCCGAAAGTGGCAAAAAACTACAGCTAAAATAGTTAGGGTAATTTTTATTCTATGCTCCCATTCCGTTTAAGACGTCCCTGATTAAAAATATCGACATTCGATTTTTGACTTCGTTTAGGTTATAAAGCTGTACCAAATTTTGTATTTTTTGCTAAAATAGTTTCTGAATAATTAGGAAAAAACGGAACATCTTGTATATTAACATTTAAAACCATAAGCATTTTACTCTGAAGTAGTAGTATATTCATTTGTATATTTTCTAAACAACTCAGTATGTATAAAGATAAAGACATCAGTTAAACGACGGTTTTAATGCCGGATAATACACGCCATGGACTTTATCTTCCTGTTAACTTCTGTAATAATTGAGTTTGAGTAGTTTACGTGATATTTAGATTTTGGTTATTACATCTTTAACTGTAATGTCGTCTTAGAGAAACAATGTGAATACGAATTTAACCGGAAAAGAGAATAATGCATATTACATCAAATGTATATAGATATATTTTTTTTTAATTAATCCTTATAAATAATATTACCTCAAAACACCAACGTTTATCTTGTACCATTATGCATTTCCACTACAAGGTGGTCCCCTCACGTGAGAATTTAAATTTAAATTTTAATGTTTTTTTTTTTCAGTCGCGACACCAAGAGGACCTGAAGAAAATATTAAAAATATGAAACTTTGGAATTTAAGAGTTATCATATAAATGTAATGTTGTGTACAGGGTGTTTTCTTTTTATTGTTACTTTAAACAGGTAATAGTATATTCAATTTTTAAGATAACAGTTTCATATAAACATGGATCGTAAAAACCAAAGTAGTTAAGATACTTTTTATTTTATACCCTTCCAGTTAAGAACGCCCCTGAACACAAATTTCGACATTATACAGATTTTTAAATTTGTTTAAGTGTGTCAAATTTTGTAATTTTGTTTATAATGGTTTTGAAGTATTAGGAAAAACTCTTTGAAAGATGTACGTACCTACCCCTTTCAGGTTATACAGTTCCGTTACATCTTTTGATAAATGTTGTTCATACAGAAATTTTGTCTTAAAATTAAATATCACCTGTTTAAATTTGTAACAATAAAACCATAACATCTTGTTTTGGACTGAGCCTTGACTTTCTTTATTCCTCTAAAGAAACCATTCGATGGTTAAGTAAGTTTGCTTTTCCGATTTTCCCTGTAATGAAACTCAGGGCAAAGTAATAATCGTAAACCTCTCTTTAACATAACAACAATAGTACGACACGTAAATTGATAATTTATTCATTAGA